GGAGCTCTCTGATTTTGTTTTAGGGCTTAGCTGAAGGGGCCATGCTGGACAATGCTGTGCCTCTGCATCTCTCATCCTGAGTCTTAAGTATTGGGGTTGTCTGCTCAGTGGACCCAGCAGAGCTATTGGCTTGTGGTGAAGTGGGAGGAGTAGCTGGTGTTGGACTCTTGTGGAACTCTGACATCATTGTCCTTCTGATTGTTGGGGAGGTGTTAAGTGGCACCACAGAGATGTTGTCTCTCCCATTGATGGATAGCGCCAAGGTTGTCAGTGAGCATGCTGCAGGTCCCTTAAGCACAGAGACTTTGGTGGAGTCCATTGTATTTGACTCAACCCCCTGAGTTGTAATAGTGCCTGTAAACAAACAAATAAACAGAAACCAATACACTTGTTCCCTCCACCAATCCAGAGTTCTTTTCTTTTAATTTTTTAAATTTATTTATTTATGAGAGAGAGAGAGAGAGAGAGAGAGAGAGAGAGGCAGAGACACAGGCAGAGGGAGAAGCAGGCTCCATGCACCAGGAGCCTGATGTGGGACTCGATCCCTGGTCTCCAGGATCGCGCCCTGGGCCAAAGGCAGGCGCCAAACTGCTGCGCCACCCAGGGATCTCCAGAGTTCTTTTCTAAAGTTCTCAATTAACCAAGTATCTTTATTGGAAAATTCAATAAAAATCATATCAACACCAACTACATTATTGCTGGCTCACATTCGTTTATGTGCCAGCTCTGCTAATAGATCTTAAATAGTAAATGATCTTAATTCATCTTAACTGATTAATTTTACTAGTGCTGGCAACTATGTCTCCCTCTGCTCAATGACTACTCTAGGGACAGAGTCAGCAAAAGATGAAAATCTGTCATTGCATTTGGTCTTTGGTATCTGGATGCCTTTTTTTTTTTATGTGAGTTTCCTACTGCATTGAATATGGTTCTAAAATTTAAAGATTTTACAATATTTTGGTATAATATGATCCCTAATTGCAATCCAGGTGCTTCATTTAATGCAATAGCAATCTAGAATATTTTTGACATCATTCAGTTTCACCTTGTTCAAATAAGGTGCTGCTGCAATGCATGAGCATCGGTGCGTTGAATCCTCACAACCAACCCCAGGTAACGATTATTATTTCTATTTGTCAGATGAAGAAACTGAGGTTCAAACAGGCAAAGACATTTGTGCAAGGTCACAGGGCCAGGAAGTGGTGGCACTGCATTTGAAACGAGATCCATCAGACTCAAGAGCCCAATGTCTTCCCTGTCACACTGCACCGCTTTGCAAAAATATAGCTTCATTCTCATGGTTGAGCCAACCACTCTAGAGAGAAAGGCCCAAGTCAGCTAGATTTGCTGATCTGGATCTCTTGGATACCTTCCTCTTTTCCCTGGACAATGGGCAGAAATAGGTCCTTTACCTGATGCTCTGTCATTGCATCCTTGACACAATTGTCAAAGGACTAATTCCAAAAACTAGAGGTGACCCAGACCAGGTGGCAGGCTCTTCCTTCCCACAACCTCACTCTGAGGAGACACTGACCCTTGCCTTCAATTCTGCCCATCCAGCACTTGCTCCTTCCACACACTTTATTCCAGTCTTATGCAGAGCTAAGGGATCACAATAGGGCAGGAGAGCTGGCCAGAATGTGTGGAAAGAGGAGGACGACCTAGGTTCTAGACCTAGCTCTATTACTGACTTGTGTAATCTCGAGGAAGACCCAACCCCCTAGTGCTTCCATGTCCCCCCTCAAAACAGTGAGGGACTGGGCTCAATCTTGTATAAGTCCTCTAAGCTCTAGTGACCTGTGGGTCTATCTGCAACAAAAAATTCTGGCTATGGGCAGCCCGGGTGGCTCAGCGGTTTAGTGCCGCCTTCAGCCCAGGGCCTGATCCTGGAGACCTGGGATCGAGTCCCACGTCGGGCTCCCTGCATGGAGCCTGCTTCTCCCTCTGCCTGTGTCTCTGCTGTGTTCTCTCTCGCTCTCTGTGTCTCTCATCAATAAATAAATAAAATCTTAAAAAAAATTCTGGCTATAATGAATAGATGTCATGCCACAGAGATCTCAAGTGTTTATTTGCAGGGAGGGATGTTTCCATTGGATCTGATTTTATGGAGTTCTTTTTCCATGCAGTTAACCAGTTGCGCCTGCTGCCTTATGGAAGAGTCCATCCTTTCTCAACTGATTTGTCATGCTTTCTATCATTATGTATCCAGACTGATTTCCATACTCTTTTATTCCTTTGGTTCATTTGTCTATTGCGGCGCCAACACTATATTATCTTCCTTTAAATCTCAGCTTCTGGTAGAATGAGTCTCCCATCTTGCTCTTCAAAATTATCTTGGCTATTGTTGGCTGTTGGTTCTTCCGTATATTTTAGAATCTGCTTATCAAGTTCTACAAAAACCCTGTTGGGATTTTGTTTGGAATTGTGCTACAATTAAAGATTTGGTAAGAACTAACAGCCTTATGATAATGAGGTTTCCTACCCACAGCTGGTGTTTTGAGAAGTGGAGTATAGACTGGCCTCTGGGATAGAATCCCAGCTGTGATAAGGGACATATCACTTCATGTTCATGAGCCTCAGTTTCCTCAGCTATACAACAGGGATAATAATAGTACCCCCTTCACTGATGGTCATGAGGGTTAAATGAGATAACACCAGTAAAGCACTGAGCACAATGCTTAGCATATAATAGATGCTCAATAAGTAGAACCTGCTACTGGTAATGATTACCCTTTCTGCTCCTCTCACCAAGATTGGTATCTGTTTCCTGGTGCTTTGCCAAGGACACTTCTCTCTGGCAAAAGTTAGGGATTCATAGGAGTGATGAGACATGCAATTTCCTGCCACCTCCCAATATCTTCCCCCATAACGTCCTAGGAGCTTAGGATCCGGGGCTATGCTCCTACCTCAGGCTCAGTGAGTCATTAGAGGTGGCATTTGTTCCTCATTGGAGTAGGCAGCAGGGGTTCAAGGCCCTGGACCTCCAGTTCTGCACCATCTTGAGAGGGAACTGCCCAAGCTATTGGCCCAACACAGGGAAGGATAGACAGCAAGGGAGAGACAGCTGGGCTGATAGACAAGATGGAGGGAATAGACAAAGATAGTATCCTGGAAGAGGATGGATGAGCAAAGCCAGAAGCTCCTTGGAAGTTATCCTGTTACGCTCCTGCCTCGAAATTCGTTGGTGTCTCAAGCCATTCAGACAATTTAGGGTCGGGGTGGGTAATGGCTGAACTCACATTATAAGATTTTCTTGGGGACACTACCTTCTGTCTTTTCTTTTGTCACCCTCTTTCCCTCTCATGCCAGCCAGAGGAAGGGCTGTGAGAGCCCCCAGAGAAGGACAGATGGAAAGGGTATAATGTGGGTGCTCACCAGAAAGACTGAGGGCTCCATCTGCAATAAACAGCAGCAGTAGCAAAAGACACTAGATGCCCACGACTCTGCTGGTCGATGGTCCTGGAGGGCACTGAGAAGAAGTCTTGGTTCCAACAGGGGAACAGACAGCAGCTCCAAGATGATGAGGCACTGCTGGCACTGGTACCTTCTCTCATCTGTCTCCTGAGTATACCACCCCCGTCCCCAGTCATCCAGACTCCTTCCTGACTGGCCCCCAAGGACTTTACAGGACTGGAACCACTGTAGATAAGAAGGAGATGAAGGGTGAAGATCCCCATCAGCTTCAATGAGTGGGCCTCTGGGGACTCCCATTCCAACTGATGAATATCCCCAAAGCCCCTAAATGTCAGCCTTTGCTGACCAGCTGGCAGAGCTCTGGGCCTTCCAGCCTTCCCCCTCAACCCAACACCAGGGAATCAGAGTCTCAGCGACATGGATGAACTTACTGGTCTCCCAACTCTTGGGCTAAGAGCTGGCCAGTTGATTTTAGAGCTGGAGATCAAGCTGACCCTCTCCCCACTGCACAGATGGGGAAAATGAGGCCCAGTGACTTACTCAAGGACGAGAATCCAGTCCTCCAAGGCAGCTCTTCCTATTGTCTAGGACTGCTGCAACTTTCTCAAACTCTTGGGTGGCCTAGCTCAGGAACTTGCTGTGGCTCTCAATAGTCTTTAGTCTGAAGGTCCCAAGGAGACCTCACAGGTCCCAAGTACCCCACCAGATTTCATTCACCTGACCCACAAACTCCTCCTCCTATCTTCCAGCAAACTTCAGTGCTCCTCACCTCTGGAAAGCTGCCAAGATCCATGCTTTCCCAGTTGTTCTCCATTGTCCCAGGATAGAAGTGCCTGTACCTCTATGACTTGGTCAGTGGGTGATCTCATCAGAAAAGAGCATCCCAGAATGAGGGCCGGTCTTCTCTACCTTCAGGCTGTCTCCTTCATCAGACTGGGGTTTCCAGCCATGAGAAGCAGATTCCCACCCCCTCCCCCAACAAAAAAATTAGAACACTAAGGGGAGATTACGTTTTCAGGGTGCAGATTCGCTCTCCCATCAGACTGGAAAGCTCTAGAGGGCAGTCAGCAACTCTCCCTCTAGACAATCAGGCTTTTAAGGGGCAAGATCTGTCTTGCCCATCAGACTGAGGCAAGATTGCCCCAAGGGGATTGGAGATCAGACATATTGATCCCAACACAAAACTTTATTGTCAGTACACAGATGCCTGGCCCCACTGGCCTCACCTTTCTCCTCTTGGTGCTTAAGCCCACTTAGGCCCCAGCTAGCTCTGGCCTCAAGCAGGGGCTAGAGATGTCCACCCTTAGGACAAATCCTGGCTGCCTTGGCCAGCACCCCCCTTCTGTGCTCATCCTTGCTGTGGGGCTCCCTCTCTTCTCCAGCATCCTTGTCCATCTGAATTCCTCCTGACCTGGGGCTCACAGGCACAAGCCCTGGAGCCACCACCCCATTTACAGCCCCAGGCCTCTGCCTAGGTGTAAGTGAGAGGATGGGCTCAGGCCAAGCTGTGCCAAGTCATGCAGAGATGCAGGAAGATGCAGCGGCTGGGTGTGTGTGCTCAGGCCCCTTGGCTCCCATCCTGCCTCTCATCGGCTAGTCTTGTGTTTGTTAAGGAGTATGTTCGGGTTGGATTCCTGAACCTGCAAACCAAGGGGTTTGTCAATCCCCTACCTTCACAGGCACACACTCCCTCACTGCCCTCCACTAGCTTCAGCAGCTACCCCACCAGGCTTCCCGGGGAAGTCCTTCATATATCAGACTCTAGCTGCCTAGTATCCTCTCCCAGCTTGGGAGCCCAGGCTGTGGACATTCACAAGGCTCCGGATCATTCTAGTTCAGTCAGGTGCAGTGGGAAGCAGAGAAAGTAACTAAGTCATGTGGGTGTGTGCCTTTTTCTCCCTAGAAGCTTCCTCCCTCCGGAGGAGTCTGTTCTGATGCACTCTAGGGAGAACCCAGGGATCCCCTGCCCACCGGGGGCCTAGGTATCTGCCACCGGGCAGAAACTGAGCTGGCTCCAGCCATCCTAAGAAGGGGTAGGTTTGAGGGCATTAGAGACTTAAGTGACTCAGTGAGAGGAGCCTGATGGGTGGGGCAGAGCCTCTCGGAGGAGGAGGAAAGGGTGGAACCTAACCGGATCAGCGGTGGCTGCTGCAGTGCGTGGGAGTCCACGCAGGGGATCAGATCTCGGATTAGACAGAAAGTTTGACTAATGGGGCAGAGGCTAGGCTGGGCTGCGGGAGGGGGCCGGGCGAGCACTTATTGGGTGGGAGGGGGAAGCTGCATGCACCTTTTCCCTATTGATGAGCGCAGTGATCAAGTCCTGCTGGCAGGTCATGTCGCGGATGTCCAGGGAGGACCCGCTCTCCACCGAAGCGTTCAATGACAAGTGCTTTTGCATCAGCTCCTCCTCCTGCTCCTGGTTGAAGCGGATGGAGCGTACCTCCTCCACTATCCTGGGGGCGGAGGGGTGAGTACTTTCCAAGGGCTGGGGGAGCGTGGGGGGGGGAGCGGAAGAGTGGGCTGCCCTCCCACCTCGTCCCTGGCATCCACCCAGCTTCGCCCTCCCCCTTCACTCTATGGAGATCCAGGCCAGGCTGTGAGCTCCTGTGAATGGAAGGAACAGGGTGATCTGGATACCCGCTCCTCCACCCACGGACCCCCAGCAAGTCATTTAAACCTCTCTGGGCCCCAGGGTCCACATTATAAAATGGTTAGGGCGTGAAGCCAGAAGAATCTGAGGCTCCGCTCAGCCGGGACTCACGGGACTCGGGGTACCCCCAGTACCCGCCCTACGTGTTGAGCTCATCTCGAATCTCCTTGTACTGCATCAAGTTCTCCTGTATTGCCTCGAGCACCAAACAAAAGTTGTCACAGGTGTTTTCTGAGAGGTTAGATAGGTTGCCCCCCGAAAATGGCTCCAGAGGGAGGCCAGACATCTCCAAACGGGCGACCACACAGTGTACCAGTGGCAACTCGTTTCTTCCATCCTCCACCTCCCTGCCTCTCTGGGAAGAAGGAAATGGGGAGGAGACAGACAGCTCAGCTGCCACCCTTCCCCCCAGCTCCTTCCTGCTTGGCTTGCGGGGAGGATGAGTCTCTTAGGACACCAAGGTTCTAAAGACCCTCATCTCAGCTCCAATCTTAGTACCCCCTACCCTGCTGTGGGTCCAATCTTAGCACCCCCTACCCTGCTGTGGGAGCTCAACTTCAAATGCATAAGCCCCTCCCCCACCTCTGAAAATTCTCACTCCTTTTCAAAACTTAGCGCCCAGTTTCACTCCTGATAAATCCTACCCAGCAAACTTCTAAAGCCTGGCCAACTCTCAAGTCATAGCCCACAGTCTATCGACACTTTGGAAAGTACTCCACCCTCCACTCCCACCAACCTTTTGGAAGTTCCACCCTTGAATGAATAACCCTGTAGCAAACATTTAATGAATTCTACATGTGTGCCAACTACTGCTCATTCATCCATGTAATTCTCATAATAGTCCTATGAGAGAAGTATGATTATTATTCCCATTTTACAGAGGAAGAAATCGAGGCTTAGGTTGGTTACCTGCCCTAAGGTCACCCCACCACTCAGTTTTGAGTTGCCACAGAAACAAGACGTCAAGGAAATCCACACCCTTCAGATGGCACTCAAGGTAGGGGATGCTGCCCCCAGGTCTCAGGCTTGACTTTCTCCAGGCCCTTGAGTGTGCAAGCGTGCCTGCGCCCGTGGGTGCGTGCGTATACACACACACACACACACACACACACACACAGGTGCGCTCAAGTCAGCACTCATACGTTCATCCTCTCTTCCCTTCTGCCCTCCCCATCCCACTCACCTCATTGAAGTTTATTTGACACAATTTCCCGTGGTCTCCTGCCTTCATCATTTGCTCCAGATTCGTGGTCACCACAACGACCAATAAGTTGATGCCAATGAAGGCACCGATGGTGATGAAGGTGGCAAAGTAGATGGCGCCCCCAATCTCCATTGCATACTCTCTTGTCTCTATCCTGGAGATGGCAGGCAGGGGCCCCATCACCTCCCTGGACTTTTGAGTCTCAGTTTCCCCATCTATGAAATGGGGTGATTATTTCAAGTCCTACTGGGACTTCTGCTACCTCACTGCTGTTGGGCAGATGTAATGCCTGCTCTGACTGTCTAAGTAGCTGCTCTTTGCTGAGCACCTGCTGTACTGCCAGAGACAGGCATGGGCCTCAAGCCAGCCCTCTAAGGTGGGGATTTATACATCAGCATTATCAAGTTTAATCTATTGGCCATACTCTTTATGTTTTTCTTATTATCATCAAAAGTAATTCAAGCTCATTATAGGAGGATCAGAAGGAAGATATATAGGAAAAAAGCTTATCCATTCTTAACACTTTATTATGAATCTCCCCTAAAATATTTTCCTAGGTAATAAGGTCTTTCTCCCTTTCTCTCTCTTTCCATACACACAACACACACATATATATGTGTATATATATATTCTGTGCCAGGCTCTCTGCTAAGAGATTTGTACAGCTTTTCTCTATTGATCCTCATAGCAATTCAGACATAGTTAATTATTGTAATCCCCAAGTGGCCGGTGAACAAGCTGAGGCTTGGAAGAGAGACGAAGTAACTTGTCCAAGGTTGCATGGCTAGTGTCATGGAGCAAAGACTCAAAAGCCCAGTCTCCAGTCTACCTTTATTGCACACCCTATGATTTTTCTACTACCTATATCATAATGGGCAATGCCTACAAAAGCCCTTTGCCAACTGTGCTTCTACTCTCACAAGTGATAAAAAGAAATCAGTCAGGGCGACCCATTCCCTGGAGTGGACTGGACACAAATAGGGTTTAGATGTAATGGAAAAGAAGTAAAGAACAGAATCTGGTGACCATCTGTGACCAAAAATGACCTTGGGCAGCAAGTCTAAGAGTGAATGAAATGAGAAAGTTCCCAGGAGTCCAGGCAATGGGCTTGAATGTGGGCTGGAAGGCTGTCCTGAAGCCTCAGATCTGCTTTCTTGCTCAACTACGCAGTTGTTGAGCTTGACAGGGGAAAATATTCATGAGCAGGTCTGCCTTAGGATTTCTTAGGGGTGAATTTCAAGGGGGACAAGGCTTCAAGCTGACCACGACCAGTCCCAGGGGTCTCTTTTTCACCAGTTTGGAGCCCCAGGCAGCCCCCTCCTGCTGGGCCATTCTGTTCCCAAGCCCTACCCCCACTGCCCTGCCCTGCTTGGGGGGGGGATGGGGGAGACACCCCTAAGGCACTCACTGAAAGTCATTGTAGATGTCCACCCAACCATCCTGAGTGATGCAGATGAAGAGGGTATACAGGGCAACCTGCATGTTCTGGAAGTGCATGGGCAGAAACGCACCAAAGAGGGTGACCCCAAACACAGAAAACACCTGCCCAAGAGACCAAAGAAAATGGCTAAAGGACCTTGGAGACATGAACATGCAAATGCCATGCAAATGAATGCTGGCAAGGGAACCGCAGGGATCCAGGCCTATAGGCTTCTCCTCTTCTCCAGACACCCCTGTATCCCCAGTGACCCAAGGCACCCTGTTCGGGGAAGGGGAGCAGCTGGGGGGATAGGGGAGGGCACTGACCAGCATGAAGAAAAGGATGAGGGTCATGATATTGGCCATATCAGGCACCGACTGCAGGATGACACGGATGATCCGGGCTAGAGGCTCCACCGCCATGCATACATGTACCAGACGAAGCGCCCTGTGTCACAGCCTCTCAGGGGTGCCCCTCGGCCCTTCCGAGACCCTCCTCCCCACTGCCCCCTGACCTGCCCAGATGGGCAGAGATCCCATCCATCTCTTTCCCAGGGTCCAGACTGGTCCCCCCCCTTTTTTTTTTACTGGTCCCCTCTTTACCCCAGAGTTCCCGGCTCACCTGAGGGTATAGGTGATAGCGATGACATTGAGTTCATTAATGAAGAACCCCAGGAGCAAGATAAAGATGATAAGGAAGTTGAGGATGTTCCAGCCGTCCTGGGAGGGGGGTGGGCCAGCCCCAGTGGGGTCTATCAGGCCCAGCCCCTGGGGACATCCTGGGTCTGCCCTCCCACCATCCCAAGGATAGGAGTGTCAATGTTCCTCTCAGGGCAGGGCTGGTCATCTGCCATCCACTGCTATTACTTCTGCTGCCCCCCAAATGTGCCAGAAAACACACAGGCACTCGCTGTCTCATATGCACGTCAACAGCCAAGTGCCATCTCAGAGGCATACAGTGGACACTCACATACACACAGCTAGTTTCTAAGCTGAGCACCCACCTTGGCTAGTGCAATGCTGAAAATGGCCTTGCCCTACAGTTAGGTGATGGGAGAATGTTTGGATGCTTCAGGTTTCGTGTGACACACACGACAATAATATAATACAAATAAATACTAAGAAAAACGTTAAAGAATACTGCTTCAGTGGCCCATTCAAAAGTGAACTAGCTCTCACTGTATGAGAGAGAGAGGGAGAGAGACAGAGAATTTTTACAAGTGCTTTGTCCAGGAAGGCACAGAGTCATATAGGAGCAGGGACAGAGGGTATGCCTGGGTGGCTCAGTCAGTTAAGCGGCTGCCTTTGGCTTGGGTCATAATCCCATGACCCTGGGTTGGAGCCCCATGTAAGGACTCCCTGCTCAGCAGTGAATCTGGTCCTCTCTCTGTCTCTCCTGCTTTTGGGCACACATGAACTTTCTCTCAGTCACTCAAATAAATAAAATCTTAAAAAAAAAAAAGATAAAGAAAAGAGTGGGGACAGAGGAAGGAAGCTCCATGTACAAAAGTTCAAGCAGAGCCACCAAAGAGGGGAATTTAGGTAGCAAACAATGGATGCATTGACTTTTTTTTTTTAAAAAAAAAGAATTTATTTATTTATTCATGAGAGACACAGAGAAAGAGAGAGAGAGGCACAGACACAGGCAGAGGGAGAAGCAGGCTCCATGCAGGGAGCCTGATGTGGGACTCGTTCCCGGGTCTCCAGGATCAGACCCTGGGCTGAAGGCAGCACTAAACTGCTGAGCCACCGAGGGTGCCCCTGGATGCATTGACCTTTTAACCAGTGATCCCACTTCAGAAAATCTGACTCCTGGGAACTCTGGTCCCGATACAAAATTACATTTGTGTAAGGTTAAAAACAACTCAAGTGTCTGGCAATGAGACACTGGTTGGGTAAACCATGGAGCACTGTGTAGCCAGAAAAGAGGAATGAGAAAGATCCACGTGCTGATGATATAGAAAGGTGACCAGGATCCATTAAGTGACAAAAGCAAAGTACAAGGGAAGGAGGATGCAGGAAAGTGAAGGTTAAAACATGTACATATTAGCTTATGATTGCAAAATAACTGTGAGGATAAACAAATGATGATGAATATAAACAGATTACAGGGAAGGGGAGGGGAAGAGATGAAGAGAAGGAATGGAAGGAAATATTCTCTGTGTACCTTTCAATATAGTTTTGACCAATCTGTATCTGCATTAAATATTCAAAATGGAAACTATTTTTAAAAGATATTATTTATTTATTCATGAGAGACATACACAGAGAGGCAGAGACATGGCCAGAGGGAGAAGCAGGCCCCATGCAGGGAGCCTGATGCGGGACTCAATCCCAGGACCCCAGGATCCCCACCTGAGCCCAAGGCAGATGCTCAACCACTGAGCCACCCAGGTGCCCTGGAAACTATTTTTTAATGGAAAAAAAATGTTCTTAAATGTATCGGGCATTCCAATGAACACAAGCCCTCCTGGTATCCCACATTCAGCATGCCTGTGACTACACATCCAAAAGGAGATGTAAGTCTGTACAGATCCAGCCCTCTCCCCAGTCAGTATGAAGCTCCTACTATATGCCCAGACCCTGAACCCAGAACTGGATCGTGAAGAAACAGGATTTCTGCCCTGTGGGGCACACAGACTATTTCCAGGAAGAGAGATAGTAAATTTAAACTCCATGTGAGAGAGATAATTACACGGTATCAGGGAGGGATAGCAACACCTAAACTGGTCTAGCAGAGACAGGAGGACTTCCTGGAAGAGAAGACATCTCAACTGAGTATTAAGCTGTAAGCAGGAATAAAGTAAATGAATAAAGTGTCAGGGAGCTCTCTTTTTCCCTATCTGGGCTAGGGGTCAGCTTGGACAAAAGCATGGAGGTAAGAAGCAGCAGCTGTGTGTGTGTGTGTGTGTGTGTGTGTGTGTGTGTGTGCGTGCGTGCATGTGTGTGTGTTGGGGAATGCAACTACAAGCAGTTTGATGGTTGGTACATCAAGGGCAGGGCACAGAATAATAAGGCTGCAGAAGTAAGCAAGCCACATCACGGAAGGCCTTCAGCACTATAAAGCAATTTGGACCCGATTCTATAAACAGTAGGGAACCACTGCAGTAATTTGAAGGATTTGAGAAATATTTAGGTGGTGAAATAGTGATTAATAGGCTGTGGGGGTAAGGAGGAGGAAGGGACCCCACAGGGCAGAAGAAAGGAAGAGCTGGGGACAAAATTTTGAGGATTCCTATAGGGCTGGGTAATATTTTGAGATATTAATTTACAGAATTTCCTCCCTTTCCTGCATTTCCCCTTTCCCTCCTCTTGCCTCCCCTTTCACGAGAGCCATTCAACAGAGCAGGTTTTGTAAACCAGGACCTAGGGGAAGGGAGGGGGGTGAGGAAGGAGGAAACAGAAGCAGTCTCTAACAAGCCCTGGCTTTTGGTACTGGGATCCTGGCCCCAATGAAGGTTAGGGTTTAGGACATTAGCGCTCAGCCCAGGGATGGTTTTCCCCTTCAGGGGACATTTGGGAATGTCTGAGGACATTCTTGGTTGTCACCACTAGGAAAGTGCTAATGACATCTAGTGGGGAGAGGCTGGGAATGCTTCTGAACATCCTCCAGTCCACAGCCCCTACTACTAAGGATTATCCAGGCCAAAATTTGTCAGTAGTGCCAGCCAAGATTGAGAAACCTTGATTTAGGAGATAAGCAGAGTGCCTCAGAGGAACACAAGATTCTCAGTCTTGCTTCAATTCTTTTGTGCTAAAGAAACGCTGGGGCTTAGTCTTGAAAGTACAAGCCCCCTGGGGCACATGGCTGGCTTAGTAGAGCATGTGACTCTTGATCTCAGGGTCATGAGTTCAAGCCCTACACACTGGGAATAGAGCTTACTTAAAACAAACAAACAAAAGAATAAAAAAAAAATAGGGCACCTGGGTGGCTCAGTGGTTAAACATCTGCCTTTGCTTCAGGTTGTGATCCCAGGGTTCTGGGACTGAGTCCCAAATCAGGCTCCCTGCAGGGAGCCTGCTTCTCCCTCTGCCTATGTCTCTGCCTCTCTCTGTGTGTCTCTCATAAATAAACAAAATCTTTTTTAAAAATTTAAAAAACATTGTTAAGAAAATGTGGACTCCCTAACTCTGCTGAAAAGAAACTTCAAGAAGAGATGAAGAAGGAGATGTTTTCTCTTAGGGAACAGGTGTCTGCCTGTGTCCTGGGGCTAGTTCTGGTAAAGTGGTACAATGAAATGGTGACAAAAAGCATGGCACCTACTCTCCTCTTAAGTGTGGAAACATGTAAATATGCACCAGCCCATTCTTTTCTGTTAATAAACATCACTGCAAATGTTATTTGCACAAAGCAGTCTTTAAGACATCCAGACTTCAGAAATGTTCTGGGTTCTATGCTCTGTGTTCTATGGAGTGAAACCTCTAACCCCTGGAAAGCTTATAATTCTAAATGGTTGTCCTGGTAATGGTATTTATTTATTTTTAAAATATTTTATTTATTTACCTGAAAGAGAGAGAGAGAACAGGAGCAGTAGGAGGGGCAGAGGGACAGACTCCTCGCTGAGTGGGAAGCCAGCCAAGGGGCTCCATCCTAGGCCTAGGAGACCATGACCTGAGCCGAAGTCAGACTCAATGGATTGAGCCACCCAGGCACCTCCTGGTAATGGTATTTAGATGATATTTCCTTTTTATGAAAGGTATAAATACTTGAGTTTTTTTTTAAGATTTTATTTATTTATTCATGAGAGACAGAGAGAGAGAGAGAGAGAGGCAGAGACACAGGCAGAGGCAGAAGCAGGCTCCACGCAGGGAGCCCAACGTGGGACTCGATCCCGGAACTCCAGGTTCACGCACTGAGCTGAAGGCAGACACTCAACCACTGAGCCACCCAGGCGTCCCAACAGTTCTTTTTTTTTTAGATTTTATTTTCTTTTTTTTTTTAATTTTTTATTTATTTATGATAGTCACACACACACACACACAGAGAGAGAGAGAGAGAGAGAGACATAGGCAGAGGGAGAAGCAGGCTCCATGCACCGGGAGCCCGACTTGGGATTCAATGCCGGGTCTCCAGGATCGCGCCCTGGGCCAAAGGCAGGCGCCAAACCGCTGCACCACCCAGGGATCCCTAGATTTTATTTTTAAGCCGTCTCTATACCCAACCTGGGGCTTGAACTCACAACCCTGAGATCAAAAGTTGCTAGCTCTACTGACTGAGGCCTCCAGGCCCCCCTGATAGGTTTTTTTTTTTTTTAAAGATTTTACTTATTTATTCATGAGAGACACAAAGAGAGGCAGAGATATAGGCAGAGGGAGAAGTGGGCTCCCTGTGGGGAGCCTGATGCACGGCTTGATCCCAGGACCCTGGGATCATGCACTGGGCCAAAGGCAGACAACCACTGAGCCACCCAGGCGCCCCTGATAGGTTTTTTTAAAGCCTCTTCTCAAACATGCCCAAAGGCAAATACATCCCTTGACTTCAGAAATCATTTGACTGTAGAAGTCCTATTGGAAGAAAGTTTGAGTCTTTGTGTCATTTAATGTAGCATTAAGACCTGTTCCCACCCAGACAGTTCGCTGACACTCTCCAGAACTGAGTCAGCAAGCTATAGCCTGTGGGCCAAATCTAGCCAGGGGCCTTTTTTTTTTTTTCTGTAAGGCCCTCAGGCTGAGAATGGCTTTCATATTTTTGAATGGTTAGGGAGAAATTCAAAACAATATTTTGTGACAAGTGAAAATGATATAAAATTCCAATTTCAGGGGATCCCTGGGTGGCGCAGCGGTTTAGCGCCTGCCTTTGGCCCAGGGCGCGATCCTGGAGACCCGGGATCGAATCCCACATCAGGCTCCCGGTGCATGGAGCCTGCTTCTCCCTCTGCCTATGTCTCTGCCTCTCTCTCTCTCTCACTGTGTGCCTATCATAAATAAATAAAATAAAGTAAAAATTTAAAAAAAAAAAAAAAAATTCCAATTTCAGTGTTCAGTCTACTTATCGAGAACACAGCCCTGCTCGGTTTGTCTGCACTGTCCACAGGGCTTTTGTGCTCCACCGCAGAGGTGAGTGTTTGTAGCACAGACTGTATGGCTCACATAGCTTAAAGTATTTATTTGGCCCTTTACAGAAAGTTAGCTGACTTCTGCTCTTGAACTCTGTAAATTAAGGTGAAAACCCTCAAACTCATTTCTCAGGTAAGGAAATCGAGGTTTTCCCAAGATCACAGAGCAGGGGAAGGCTAACCCAGGGGCTGGAACTCAGGGAGGCTGCAAGTTATTTTCTGCTGCATCACAGACGTGTCAGGAATAGTCAGTCTCTCCACACCACACACACACACACACACACACACACACACATTCAGCTTGTTAGGTAAAAAGCACAGGGGTGGGGTACAGTCACTCCCTAAGGAGGAGTTGGGGCGATGGCAGGGAGGGCCCAGGATCTCACCTTCCAGAAAATCCAGAAGCCATTTAGCCAGCCGAGGAGAACCTCACAGATAAGGATGGTCAGCACAATGTCATCTATGGTAGAGAACAACTCATAGTGTTTCTACATGGAAGACAGAGAAAAAGAGAGGTCAGGGAGGTCAGTGGAGCAGAGCCTGGGTGAGGCCAGAGAGAGGAGCACCTGTGGGGGAAGGAAGGCCCATATCCTTGCTGCTCTTCATCCTCAGCATCTTTGCAGTTCTCTTTAGAGCACATTTTCCATGTACATGTGTCATTCATGGTAGCATCACCATCGTCCTACAAAGTTGGTTTTATTCCCATCTCAAGGAAGAGGAATCAGAGAGGTGCCCAAGGTCAGCCAGTTAGCAGTAAAGACTGTTATCTGACTATAAACCTTTGCTCCCAACCTCTAGAGTAGGGGTACTTGAGAAAGAGAAGTTGGGGAGAGGCAGGACAGGCTCCAGGATTGGGAAAAAAAAGCCCTGGACCCTGAAATGTTGGACACCAAGCCCCATCCTTCCTTCTCTGGTTGTCCCAACTACTCCTGATGCTCCAGCACCCAAATTCCCCAGGGAAGGCCTGACCAGACTGCTGCACATCCCCCACACTCATGGATCCAGTTCCCTGGGTGGACTGATGGATGATGGATGGAGGACTTGATGACCTTGAATTCTTTTTAAAATCCAACTCACTTTCCCCCAGTCTTTCATGAGGCTATGACCCTACTATCGTTTCTGACCCCACTAACAGCTCCCAGCCCTCAACTCCACTTTGGCAGTTACCAAAGTCTTGTAAGGACTCTTCCCTTCCTTCTCTTCCATGACCAACAGACTCGGTGACTCAAGAGTCACTGCTACACACAGAGGCCTCCTGGTTCCCACACTTTGCCATCACCTGTATCCCCTGGTCAAAGAGAGGCTGGGCAGAGCTTCTTAAACCCAGACAGGAGGTTAAGGTTATGGGCTTCCTACCTGTTCCAAATTCCCAAAGGGCATCACAGGCCAGGGATGTCAGTCTACAATGAGGAAGCACTTCCTTTTCCCTCATCTGTCCCCTCAGCTCCATTCTGCTGGCCCCAGGAGGCAATAAGCCCTCCTCCCTGTCTACTGCAAGAGCTTCCTAAATAGTCCTTCCTTCTTCAAGTCATGAGCATCTATGGCTAAATCAGAGTTGCTATCTTTACCCACAAGCCTGCCATGGCTCCCAGTAGCCTGCAAGGCAAGGTTCAAAACCAGTCTGGCATTCACAGGCCCTAGGATTTGACCTTCATGGATACACATCCTCCACCAGGGCCTTTAGCATGTTTGACTGGGACCCACAGTAAGAGATGTGTTTTATATTTCACAGCAAAATTCTCTGCCTCCCTCTTGCTCCCACCTCTCCTTCTCCCTCACATACACACATACAACTTCTATTTCATTCTTTTTCATTCTATATCAAAATGTTGGTATCTGCAGTCTGAACTGATTTCACAGTTGACGGATGGAAGCACATTCATTCTGCCATCTTGGCTGTTGGGTTTATGCCTCCACCACACTAGAGGCCACTCTTGTCAAGGCCACAAGCATTAAACCCAGGGATGCACCATGATCCTTCCCTGGCCTCCTCTTGTGCCTCTTCTGGCCCTGCACATCCTCCTTGACAGCACATTCTCCTGGGGCCTCCCAGTCCTCTGGCCACCCGTCCTCAGTCTCCTTTTGTGCCTCATCCTCTATTCTCTGTCCTTCACTGAGATGCTCTCCTCAGTGCTCTGGCCTGGCGTTCATCCCTTCTCACTGGATACTCTCCAGGTGGCCTCCTCTACTCCTTTAGCTTCTGGCAGCCATCCACTCAGATGCTGTCCACCCTCATTTTGCCATCTCTACCCCCGACCTCTTGGCAGGGTTTTAGAATTGACCTCTAACCTCTCCATAGACATTTCTGTGTGGATTTTGCATGCACATCTCGAACACTACTCAACTCCAACTGACCTCAGCATCCTCCCCAAAACTGCTCATGGTCCTATGTCCCCCATATCCCGACAAACACCATGGTCCCCGCACAGCTGCTCAAGCTAGAAATGAAACTCCTTGCTCTCCCTTTCTCTCCATGTGTGAGGTGACAAGGTATGTTAAACAAGGCAGCAGGTAATAAGTGCTCACTAAGTGTTAGTTGTAAAGAAAAGCAGTCAGGGGATGCCTGGGTGGCTCAGTCGGCTAAGTGACTGACTCTTGATTTCAGCTCAGGTCATGATCTTAGGGTCCTGGGATCTAGCCCTACCTCATCAAGCTCCTCACTCAGCAGGGAGTCTGTTTGTCTCCCTAGCTCTCTGCCCCTCCCCCTGTTCACTCTCTCCTCTTTCTCTCTCAAATAAATAAATCTTTTTATTTTTGAGAGAGAAAGAGCATGAGCACAAGCACGGGGAGAGGCAGAAGGAGAGGGAGAAGCAGACTCCCCACTGACCAGGGAGCCCAAGGCAGGGCTCAATCCTTGGCCCCTGGGATCATGACATGAGCTGAAGGCAGACACTTAACTGAGTCACCCAGGTGCCCCAATAAATAAATCTGAAAGCAAGCAAGCAAAGCAAAGCAAAGCAATCAGGAAGGCCCATGAATTTGACTCCTCGATGCATGCAATCTCTTTTATCCATGACCCTTGCCCAGGTCTAAGCCCCACCATCTTTCACTTAAAATCACAATATAGTCCTGCTGGCCCATCTTTTCCTGCTCCTAGCACCCTCTCTTCTATGGTCTACCCTGTGGGAGTGAGTATAAGTTTTCTAAAACACATGTCTGGTCATGTGACTTCCAAGCTTTAAACCATCTCCTGGCTTTCCAATGACAGAAGCCATCCTCCTTAAGATAACATAAAGACCCTGTGCCAGCTTGCTGCTAACCACCTCTTTGAAATCATCAGCTGCCACACTGGACATTTTTAAAATACTGATTTCAAATGGCGCAATTTGTGGATGTAGTATACTCCTTGTAGGAAATTAAAACATCAAGGATAGGACCAAAATCATACTGGACTTCAAGATGGACATACAGAACTTGCTCACAAGCTGTTTCTTCCATCCCCAAACATGCCTTCCCACTTGTTTCTGCCTGGCTGACTTCCACTTACTTTTATTCTCATCTGAAGCGTTCTTTTTCTCCCCAGGAAGCCTGCTCTGATGGTACAAATTAGGTTTGATGCTAATTCTGAGCGCCCACGTACTCTGTGACACTCAGACAGGCATTTATAATGACACACTTGTGTCTGAGACAGACTTAGGTCTGCTGTGATCATACCTAGAACCCTGGCACAGAGTGATCTTCTCATGGTGACTATTGACTAAAATGGGATACCCTTCCCCACCAGGCATCCATCTGTCTGCCTCTGCACACACCATTTTTCTCCTGCCCTGCCTCTCTACAGATCCAACGCCTTCCTCAAATCTGGGTCCCCTCCAACATGAAGTCTTCCTTGATCTCTAGTTCCCTATAAGGTCAGAGCTGACAGGCCCTTGAAGAACATTCGATGCAATCATCATGAACAGATGAGGAGCCTGAGGCCCAGAGACAAAAGCGCCTTGCTCAGGCCCACCGTGAGATCAATGGGGGCAGAGGTCAGGCTGGAGTCCCACCTGGCCAAGGAAGGAGTTGGTGCGCAGAGCAATGGTGATGGCGTTGACCACCAGCAGCAAGGCCAGCAGGAACTGGAAGGCCGGGTGTCGAAGCAGCTGCTTGACATACATGCGAGTGATGAACTCCTGTATGTCCCAGGCATCCTGGGAGAGGGTGGGGGACCTTCCTTCAGGCAGGTGTCACTGTGGGAGGCCTCTGCCTGAATGTTTGTTCTCAGTGAATGGGGGCCCTGGGGGGGATGCTGCTCTAGGGGGAGAAGTTGCCCAAGAGGAGTCATGAAATGGGGGCATCAGTGTAGGAGCCACTACCTAAATGGCCACTAAGAGAGGGTGACTGCTGAGGGATCTTTGTGGGAGTCATTGCAAGGGAGACCTTTAGGGGCTCTGGTAGAGAGTGGCTGTCATTATATAGAGGTTCCCGTAGGGAGCACTGCCAGGTGGGTCCTAACAAACCATGATGGGGTCACTGCAGAAGTCACCGCTGGGGAGGGTCCTCAGGGAGGATGTTTAGAAATTAGAAGAGGGAGAGTTATTGTGACAGCCTGCTGCCTCCCCCCTCCCCGGGAAATACTGCTGCACAAGGGTGACCGTGGAGGCGGGGGGCCTGCAGGTGCAGCCCCAGCTTCTTTCTTACCTTTGTGCTCATGATGTCTTGGCGGTTGATGAGCCCTTGTTCCTCAGGCCAGGCGTAGGGCTCGTGAGTGGCCCTCTGCAAGGGTGAGGGTGAGGAGAGAGCCCATCGATGCAGCCTCTGTCCCTGGGACCCAGCATGATGCACCTGCACCCCCACTCCTCCACCCCCCAATGTGCCCAGCTTGGTGGGCCAAGGCAGGGGCCACCTACCATGATATTAAAAGGTTTAACATTGGTGTCAGTCCACTGCTGCCACCACTTCTTTTGGCTGTCTATCATAGCTGCTCAGTCTCCTCCCACCTGTCAAAGAAACTTCATTCCAAGTGGTCTTGCTCCCCCTCGTGGTGATATCATAGAGGACTCTATGACCTCCAGCTGTCCACATTCCACCAAGGAATTCTTGAGCTTCAAGAAAAGCTCCTCCCACTGACTCCCCTGGGTACCCCACAGAGGAAGCCTGGGGCACTGAGGGGCTGGGCTGGGGTCAGGGGTCAGAGGCCGATGGGAACAAGTCAGGTTTCTTGTACACCCCTGGATGGAGACAGAGGGGCATGGCCCTACTCTGGGTCCAGAAGCTGGAGGGGAGACTGGGAGGAGGAGAAGAGATCCTCTTCCCAGAAGACCTCAACCTGTACCTGTCCCCACCAGCTTCGCCATCCACAACCTGTCTCAGGGCCATCCACCCTGTCCTTCCACACAGGTATGTTTCTCCATCGAGAGAGAAAGGCCAGTCTCTTGTTTCTATGTGCCTCCCTGGGGATGGGGCAGGAGAGTACCCCCTGGTTTCTGAAGGGTGGGGAAGAGATGGGCATAAGCGGAGGCCCTCATTGGCTATGGATCAGCAGCTCTCATCCTGAGAGGCACAGAACTTCAGGAACAGGGCTCAGGCCAGTGGTCTGCACACATGGCGGACCAGTTACCAAGAGCATTCCTGTCTTTTTTTTTTTTTTAATTTTTATTTAGTTATGATAGTCACACACAGAGAGAGAGAGAGGCAGAGACACAGGCAGAGGGAGAAGCAGGCTCCATGGACCGGGAGCCTGATGTGGGATTCGATCCCGGGTCTCCAGGATCGCGCCCTGGGCCAACGGCAGGCGCCAAACCGCTGCACCACCCAGGGATCCCCCTTTTTTTTTTAATAAAAATTTTATTTATTTACTCATGAGAGACACATGAGAGACACAGAGGCATAGGCAGAGGGAGAAGCAGGCTCCATGCAGGGAGCCCGACGTGGGACTCGATCCCGCATCTCCAGGATCAGGCCCTGGGCTGAAGGCAGGGCTAAACTGCTGAGCCACCCGAGCTGCCCATTCCTGTCCTTCTGATACCTTTCCATCCTTGTCCCCTCTGGGAGCAGATTCCTGGTTCTAATATGGAAGGCAAAGGCACATGTGGATTCATTTTAGATAAGATTGATTTTATTTTGTTGAAAGTGTTTCTTGTGTAAAATGAACACCTATACAAGACTAGGCAGGGAGTGGGTTTGTGCCCCCACAGGTCAGAGGATGAGGTGGGAGAGAATTTCTTGCAGGCCAGCTTCCCACCACTTCATTGGCAAGAGAGAGGATGGCCCAGAGTTCACTTCACTTGACCCCACTCCAGGGGAGAGAGGAGCAGAAATGGTGGACACTTAGGCAGAGGGGGCCATCTCGGGGTAGCACTACTTCTGACCTTGAACAGAGCCGGCAGGGGCCCTGTCCTGGGCGAGTCAGAGGCTGGGGGGTTGAGGTGGTCTTCGAGGCCAGAGGTCAGGAGCCAGAGTGCTGACCAGGGTCAGAGGTCAGGAGGCTGGAGGTTGCTCTCTGGGGTCCAGGGGCAGAGATGAGACTGCTCCTCAGGGTCAGAGGGCAGGGGGTGGGAAGGCTGTTCTCTGGGGTCAGAGCTCAGGACTTGGGAGGGGCCTTCAGCTTGCACCACTGCCCCGGCCCCCAGGCTCTCCAAGTAGAGATCTTGGTTCTGCTCCTTCCACTGTCGGAACTTCTCTCCTGTCAGCTCGGGGTCACCCAGCACTTCCTCCAAAGCCTGAAGCTCCTGCAGCTTTGCCTGTGAAGAGAGTGGGAGCTCGGGGGCATGATCACCTAGGGAGAGGGGCAGAGCCCGAGCTCAGGGCTCACTCTGGGGTCCAGTGCTTGGAACCCAGCACCTGGCCCACTCCAGCCCCAACCCTCACGAGGAGAGGCTGGCTCTGGGAGCCTGGAACTGGTTCGGTCCACAGCTGGGCCCAGAGCTCAGGCCAGGAAGCAGAACCACAAGCCCGGAGCCCTGTCCTCCACCATGCCCAGTGCCCTCCAGCTGACCTTGAGTGTGCTCTGTAGTGCTCGTACGCGGTGCACTAGCTCATTTTGCTGGGGGTCTCGGTTGCGCCGCATGAAAGAGCTCCGCCATTGTTCCTGAGTGAGGGGCTGCGGCTGGCCCAGGAGGGACACGCCCCCCTGCCTCAGCCCCCGCACCATTCCTTCCAGCGCCCCTTCACTGTTGTCTGTGGGGGAGGGGGGCAGATGACCATGTGCCCAGCCCTGCCCCACCCCCTGCCCTCCATCTCCACTCCCAACCCCAGCACAACACCTGGTGGTGAGCCAAAGGATGTCCGTGGGCTGCCCTGCGTCGGGGTAGCTGCAGGTGATGTGTCTCCATGGAGCGGACCCCAGACTTGGGCTGGGCAGGGCTGTGGGCAAAGCAGAAGGAGAAGTGGGTATCATTCTGAGCGCTACGGATGTACCCCCCACACACACTCATCTCCTACTCACCGAGGCCGATCGGGACCCAGCGTCATCGTCAGGGTCTTCTGCTTCTGTCTCACTGTAGCAGTCTGGGGGAACAGGAGCAATTGGGAGCCCACTAAGCATCACAGGGTTTTAGGAGGCCAGGGAGTGGGCTAGGGCATTGGAGTTCCCAGCCCCCATCCCAGGAAAGACAGAGGCTCAGCTGAGACCTGGTGAGACCTACCCCTGTGAGACACCCACCTTCTTCTCGGGGCAGGGAGGCCCGGCGTGGAGACTGGTACTTGGAAATGCAGGTAATTAGATGGCGCACCCACCTGTGTAGGAGCAAACGTGTCTCGGAGTTTCCGTCTACTGTATGCTAGGGGATTTTCACCTGTTATCATCTTCTAACTTAATCCTCAGAGTACCTCTGAGAGGTAGGAACTCAAACTAACCCATTTTATAGATGATGAAACTGAGGCTTGGAGAAGTGAGTGCCTTGATCAGCCACCATCAGAGAACAGGGATCGGAATCCAGGTTCCTGAGCCAGGCTCACAAGCATTCATGTGGAAGCTGGGAGGTAAGGGGGTGGGGATGGGGGCTGGCACTCACATGCTCAGATCCTCCAGGGTGTCAGCAGCGAAAATGAAGGGTTTGTACACGTCATGGGTGAGCTGGAACACACTGCCAGGGAGCACAGGGGCCTCACTCAGCCTGGCTGTGCCCATCCAGAACCCATGAGGCTGCACTGGGAACCCTAGCTACCTGGTGCATCCTCCTTCCCCCCTACTTCTCCCTTTCTCCCTTTCTCAGCCCACCCCCCAGTGTCACACTCCAAGACTTAACTATTTTTTCTTCTGATCCTGACCGCTTTCCAGACTGTAGTTGGAAACATTGATGAGACCTTCAGCCTTCTCATCCTGGGGGGAATTACAGGGTGAGGGTCAGCCTGCAGCCCCAAGACCCTGGAGGCCCAGTCAGGCTCCTGGGGGTGGGGTGGTGGAGGTGCAGCTCCTGGGCTCTCCAACCACAAATCTCCCAACGCCTAGAGCTCAGGGCAGGAATCTGGGATGGGGCAAAGTGTGTGACCAAGGGGTGCCTTAGAGCCAGGAAAGAGGAGCCAAAGATATCCAGGAAGACGGCCACAGAAGAAAAGACTGCTTATGCATTTGTTGTGTTATTAGAGATGCAGGAAGCTGCTCCATACCCCTGAACTTTGCAAACTCTCTTCTCCCTTCCTGGTTTTTTCATCTTTCCATCTGACTAACCTCCAGGCATTGATTTCTCAGCCTTCTTGACGCTCCAGGTTGGACTGTCCACCTCTGCAGGGCTCCTACCCACCCCTGGGCTTCTCCTTTATCATAGCATGGGTTCGCTGAACTGGCCTGGGGTGTGCACTCATCCCCACCACTACCAGCCTGGAGTAGCAGGGACTGTCCCATCCTCCCTCTGTCCCTAGTATGCAGCCCAGAGCTGGGTACACAGTAGGCACCTGAACATTCATTGAATGAATAAGCAGTTGAACAAATGGCCCATCACTAGGATAGACAGGGTAACAGAAGAGGAAGGAAAGGTGGGCAGAGTAAAGGTGACTCTCTCTACACTGCCAGTGATACCTTTCTCAGGCTGCTCTTACACACATATTAGTTCATCTTTCTCAAAGAGTGATCTTATTCTATAGATAGGGCTCAGGGAGGGGGCCTGTGGCCTTCCTGTGACCACAGGGGGAGCAGACTGGTGGAGTAAGGATGAAAATCATGGCTCTGACTCACTTGCTAACCCATGTATGTGGTGGGGGGGCTCACCTGGGGCTGGTGGTACCAGTAAAGCGTGTGTCTCTTGAGCACAAACCAGCAGCGGCGCCAGCGCGGGCCCATGAAGCCACCAGGCACCTTGCGCAGTAGGAGCCAGCCGTCACAGTCTGGCTGGCCCAGTTCCCGGCAGGACACCCGCCTGCGACTTAGTCGAGTCGCCACGCCTGCAGCAGCACAGCAGGGCCTGGGTTATTAGGGGCTGACACGGTGTCCTGGAGTCCCAAACCTGCTCCCTGCCCCCCTACCAGCATTCCCAGCTGATACTGCTGAACCCGTGCTCTGTGCTTGAAATGTCACAGGTGTCTGCCTGAGGTAGAGTGGACTCTTCCCATTTTAGAGACGAGGAAATGGAAGATAAGAGGGTGAGCCATTAGCCCAAAGTCATAGAGCTGGTGAGAGGCCCAGGCTGGAAGCACAGGTCTGTCACACCCAGCTGTTCAGGGGAGGCTGTGTGTGCAATGTGAGGGGTGGTCTTGCCAGACACTATAAAAACTTTGAAGACCTCATATCAAGGGACCCCAACCTAGTCAAGTACATCTCTTACCTTTTGATTTCTTCCGACCAGGAACAGGACTCTGAAAAGGCCATAAGGGGTTACAGAAGGGTCCTGGTCTGAAGCCACACAACTTGTCCTTGCCGAGCCCTCACCTTACCTTGTCAGGGTGTTCTGGGGGCTTCTGAGTATCTGCTACTCCTGCTGGGAGTGTGGCTGGGGATGCAGGGGGAATGGGCAGGGACTCAAGGTCGAGGGAGGTAGAGTCTGTCAGGAGGAACGAGAGAGAGGAGGGTCCATGAGCCCAACCCCAGGCTAGGCAGTAGGGTGAGGATGTCAGAGTTTGCAGGTCAGAGCCAGGCATCCAACATGTCTTGCCCAGGGCATCTGCCACCTGGTGGGACTTTGAAACTACCTGTCCAGGCAGTGCTGGGTCCAGGCCTTGGGTTTGAAGTCAGGTCAAAGGCAAAGATGTCTTCAGACGGGGTTCTGGGGAGAGCAAGGAGAGATGAGATGAGTGAGCCCAGGGCACTGACACCAAAACCCACCTGGGGCAGAGCCTGTTACCTGGGAGATAGTGGAGGGGAGAGCCCGTTACCTGGGAGACCGTGGGGGGCGAGCTGGTGAGGGGGGTGAGGGGACCGTCCGCTGTGGAGAGCCCAGGGCTTGAGGAGAGGTCTGGGGGAACAACCAGAAATGGTGACAGAGCTGGTGACAGGGGTCTGAGAGCAGGACAGGGGCAGGGCTGGGGGCAGGTACCTGTGGAGGGGTCTTTGGCACCGGGACCTTCTTCAGCACTAAGGTGGCCCCGGCTGGCTCCCGCAGCAGCTCCCTCATCACATTCTTATGGGGCCAGCCCACCTGGGGGACAGAGCAGGGGGCGGGCAGGGGTGCTGGGCTGCTGGAACTGCCCAGGAGGCTCTGAGCTAAGCCAACAGCCCTTGCCCTCACCCTCCGCCTCCTGCCACTCCTCCTCCAGGAGACCCCCACCAGCCCTTTCACCTTGACTCTACCAAGGCCACTCTGACCCGGATGGCAGCCCCCATAAGCCTGGTCTCCACAAGGGGCCCTCCCCACCCACCAGCCCTGGCTTCTATTCAGCAGTCCCTCCCCTTCTCACTCACCACCACCTGCTCATTGACCTGGACAATCTCGTCTCCAGGCAGGATCTGCAGCCGAGTGTCGGCAGGGACCTGATAGGTGGGGTAGGCTCATAGGGTTTGCTCTCCACGGGCCTGAAGTGGGCTCAGCTGGAGGGTAATAAGGGGGCCTTGGGGCGGGCAGCTGAGAAAGGCGTGGGATTCTCACCTGGGTTCCCACACGGGACACAAAGTGCAGGCAATTACTGGTGGTGTGGATTTCCAGGCCCTGCCGAGGCAGAGGCGGCAGTCACCGAGAGTAATGGGGGACCAGAATTCTTGGGTGGAACTGGGGAGCGAGCTGGCCCCAGGACGGCACTGCCCAACCTGCTGTGTGACGTTGGGCCTGCCACTCTTCTCTGGGTCCCGCCTCCTTCTCCAATAGGGGCCAGAGGGAAGCGGGGCTTGTGGGCTAATGAGATTCTCAGCAGCCCTCCAGAAAGGATAAGCAGGGCTGGGGCAGGACAGGGGCAGGGCTGGGGACTCTGGTTTTCTCAAGCAGTCAAAGATTAAAGCAAGAAAGTCCCAGTCCCCTAACTTGCCGTGTCTGTGTCCCAGGGCTGGAATGTGTCACCTGAGACCACACCAGCTAAAGCCCCTCAAGATTGGAGAAAGTACTTAACGACATGAGACCCCAGAAAAGCCCTCTGGGCCTTTAAGAGTGGTACAGAATACAGGATTCTGCGGGTTCCTAGAGCCATATTTCAGGGCCCAGACAAGGCTGCCAAGAGAGCAGGGCTCACCAAAGGGTCATCCAGCTGCACACGCTCCAGCACTGCCCTCTGCTCCAGCAGCTCCTGGGGGCTGCAGTTCAGGATGCTGTGGCAGATCCCGACCACGTGGCTGCACTGGGGGAGGGGGAGCAGGATGGCCAGCCTGAACCTCGTCCCACCGCCACCCCAACTCCCCACTCAACCAAACCCATACTCACAATCCTCAGGACTTTGCTCTCCTTCTCAGCCGCTGGAGTGTCCTGGAAGCAGAGAGGGCGTCAGCCTTCCCCGAGTCAGGGGCACTGCCTTCTCCCAAGGGCGGGGGCGGGGGGGCTTCCCTATAGTCCCACTCTGTCCTGCGTGCTGGTCTCCTTCTAGAACTACACAGCCTCAGAGCTTTGGCTCCAAGGTCTCATCCCCTGACGCCTAGCCCAGAAATCACCATACATGCCCTCCCTGGCTCCACCTTTTCCTGAGAGTTAAACTTCCCAAGCCACCCCTGCCAATTAGAAGACCCCACACCCCCATTGCCCCTACCCAGCGGCCAGGCCTCCTTTCTTCCTGTGCCTGCCTCTTCCCAACCCCCACACCTGATTCTGTGCTGATTCATAGGTTATAAAAAGCTCTAGCCTGACTTCGTCTCTATGGCCCAGGCCAAGCCCGGCCCTTGGTTCTCCTACCTCCTGCAAGGCCTGGCCCAGCTCCCCGCACAACTCCCCAATCTTCTGGCAGGCCGAGAAGTCATTTAAGTGGGAGAAGAGGTATCTGGCAGGGGGAAGGGTGGAACAGTGATTAGGGGGCTGTGATGACCAGTCAAGTCATGGAACCACTCAGAGCCGACTACCCGTTTGACACAAGGGGAGAGATAATATCCGCCCTGATGGGTTTTGGTTGGGGTAAATGAGATGACTGATAAATCTAAAGAGCTTAGCAAAGGACTTGTCAAGTGCATAATACATGCCAAGCCCTGTTCTAGGCACCGGGGAGACAGACCTTAAACCTATGATTACATCAATAATGATATGACTTGATCTGCTGTGAAGTATAGGGAGCTCTGAGAACATATAACAGGGAAGGCTTCCCAGAGGAGGTGACATTTGATCAGGGACCTATGGGATAAGCGGCAGCAGTTGAAGGGAGTAGAGAAACTCTTCATGCAGTGTTATGACTGTTCTGATTACAAGCTGGGGGTGGGTGGGAAGCCAGGTGCCCTGATGCCCCCAACACAGACCAAATAATCTTTTTGCCCTGCTCCACATCGGAACAGCCAAGCTCTCTTCTTCATTCCCAGGTCCCAGAGGAGGCCAAGGACAAGGAGGGTCCTCCTCACCAGCCGGCCCAACCAGGGTCTTAGGAGGAGCCCCGGGTACCTGTTGAGCCAGAAGAGGAGGGTATGGGCCTCATGTATCAGTTTCACAGCTGCACTGAGGACATGGGCAGGGGGCTCCACACAGCCCTCCAGGTGACCTTGGACTAAGCCCTGGAAAGCATAGGTCCCCTCCAGCAATCTCTCTGTCAGGCTCTGAAGGTTCTCTGTCTGTAGCCCAGAGCTCTGTGCCAGAAAAAAAGGCAGGTTATCTCCTGGCAGTGGACGGCCCAGATGGGTGGAAGCTGCACAAGTGTGGCCACCATTCACTCACCAGGGCCCGGAGCTGTTCCACCCCTTCCAGGATGATCTCCTGGTGGCCCAGAGGCCACACGGTCAGAGCCTCAAGGCTTCGGGGACAGAGCTGGAGCAGGTACTTGCCAGGCAGTTCCCATTCCTCAAAGCAGTAGTCCTGTAGGGAGTCATCGAGGCCTAGAGGGAGAGCAGGGCTTTCAGGCCACTTCTTCATTCTCACAAAGCCCTCTTTCCTCCCATCTGCTCCTAACAACAAACCTGGGACCCAGGGCATGTTCTGCCCATTTCACAGATGAGACTGCTGAGCAAGTAATTTAATTGCTCTGTGCCTCAGCTTCCTCACCTGTGAAATGGCAACAATAAAAGCACCTACTTTCTGATCATGTGGGTATTAAATGACATGGAACACGTGAAGCACTTGGACCATTCCCTAGTTCACAGTAGACAGTAACAGCTGCCATGGTATCATCACCAGACTCTACCCTGATCTACAAGGCCCTGTATGATCAGGCCCCCCCTGACTCCAGTCTCATCCTCTGGCACAGCCCCTCAAACTCAATACTCTAGATCCAGAGCCCTAACTCCCTGGAGCTCCTGGAATGCTCTTTTGCCTCAGGGTCCTCACATGCACTATTTCTTCTGCCTGGATTCTTCTAGCTCCTTCACCCTTCTTTTTAATCTAACTCCCTCCAGGAAGCCTTCCATAACTCCCCAGGGTAGGTCGGGATCTCTCCAGTTCCCACTGCCCCTCATGCTCTAGGCCATCAAAAACTGTTCCTCCTTAACTCTAGCCCATGCCTGGCACAAGGTAGACGAGGCAGACCAAAGACAGGAAAAATTCCATTGAAAGCTTATGTGCTAGGCAAGATTTTAAGGGTTTTCTATGTATTAACACATTTGGTGCTCACTGAATATAGGAGGTAACGACTATTATTATCCTCATTTTATAGGTGGGAAAATGGATACAAATAGAGATGAAGTAGCTTGCTCACTCTTTGAAGGAGTTCCTTCCATCCCAAGTGAGGCTCCATCATTGGGGAATGTGAGCGGTCATTAATAACTTCTTCGTTCCCCGTGTGACATTAAGAACACTGGACTGGGAGTTGGTGGACCTGCTACTCCAGGGCTCCAGCCCTCAGGCCGAGTACTGTGACCTTGCTGCGCTGCCTTCCTCCCAAGTTTACCTTGAGCCACGCAGGCTAGGCACCTGCTGCGATGGTCTCATTTTGTCTACTCCATGAGATGGCTGTTGACTTTCTAATCTTACGGAGAGAGAAACTGAGACCTCTGGTCGCAGAGCTGGTGAGTGGAGCAGTGGGGCCTGGAACTCAGCCTGGGAGTCTGACTCCAGCCCTGAAGCCCGGCTTTTCCAGGGCTGCTCGGCCTGAGCCTGCCAGCAGGGAGCTCCACTCCCCTCCCCGCTCGAGCTCCCCGGGAGGGCTGTCAGGACACCCCTCCCCTCTCCCAGCTGCAGTCTGGGCCCTTTCCCCGCCTTCGCCTTCGGGTCTCAGTGACTGGCCACCACGTCTTCTCCCCCGAGGCCCCAGGATGCGGCTGTGCCAACCCCTTCGGTCTGACTGGGCCTTCTGTTTCTCTCAAAGTGGAGAGAAGGGAAAAGACAGGAGGACGGGGGATCCCTGGGTGGCCCAGTGGTTTAGCGCCTGCCTTTGGCCCAGGGCGCGATCCTGGAGACCCAGGATCGAATCCCACGTCGGGCTCCCGGTGCATGGAGCCTGCTTCTCCCTCTGCCTATGTCTCTGCCTCTCTCTCTCTCTCATTCTATGTGACTATCATTAAAAAAAAAAAAAAAAAAAAAAAAGACAGGAGGACGGGCCCTGTTGCCCAGCCCAAGCAAATCACTTCCTGGCTCAGTGCGTCAGTTTCCGCTTCTGATAAATGGGTTTAATACCAGCCCACTGAGCCCTGGGGCGGAGGGAAGATGAAGGCGGTTGGGCGGCCGTGGGCGCCGGCCCGTCCCTCTGTTTTCATCCCCCAGGCGCCGCCTCCCCGCCCGCACCCCGGCGGCCCCTCGCGGGGCGCTGGGGGACCCCTGCTGAGCTCCCGGGCCCGCGGGTCGTCTCGTCGATCCCTCCGCCTAGCCCAGGACCGCGTACGCGGCAGGCGCCCCGAACTACTTGTTGACCAAGCCGCTGACAGACCTGGCACGTCCCTTTTCCGTTTCGTCTCCTCGTGCCAGCGCCCCTCCAGCCCGACTCTGCCCAGGCCCACCTCTCAGCCAAGCCGCCACCTTCCCGGGGCTCCAGGTCGCTACTGGCTCCATGGCCCGGACCGCCCGCCCGCAGCCGCTCCCGCCGGGCCCGCCCGCGCAGGAATTTCCGCTCCCGGAGTCCGGCCCGGGGAGGGACCCGGGCCGGGCCCCGGGCGGAGCCAGCAGCACACCTGGGCGCACGGGCACGGCCAGGTGAGGCGCTGCCACTGCCATTGGCCCGCCGCCGCCCCGCCTCCCGCCACCGCGGGCTGCCCGGCCGCCTGACCCGGGGGCGGTGCCGCCGCTGTGCGACCCGGGCGACTTTGGAGCGGGCCGGGATCCCGCCCCAAACTGCACTTTGACCTCAAAAGAGGCTCCTCAAAACAAAACAAAAAAAGTCAGAGCACAGAAGGAGCCAGAACCCTGGCAGCGAAAACCAGCGTTGCAGCTTGTTACCCACCGTGCATGGTTCTCCGCAAAATGGGCTGCTGTGCCGAGTACTGGTCTTAATAGCGCTAAAACTTTTTGGAACAGGGGTTTCTAGTCCCCCTCTGTTTTTGGCACACACACAGACCCTTCTGGCAGTCTGGTGAAACCGATGGACCCTTTCTCAGAATTGTGCTTTTGGAAGCATTAGAGAAATGCTGAAGATTACAAAGAATCATAACCAAAACATATTTAAAACACGGATTTATAAAAAAAAAAAAACAAAAACAAAACACGGATTTATGGTGCCTGGCGGGCTCAGTCAGTAGAGTGTGCAACTCGATCTCGGGGTTGTGAGTTTGAGTCCCACGTTGGGTGTAGAGAAAAAATAACGTCTTTAAAAAAAATCCATACATTTATGATACAGTAATGTGTTTATCAGCATTAGATAACAAGACTGTTGGGTACCTGGGTGCTCAGTGGTAGATCATCTGTCTTTGGCTCAGGTGATCCCGGGGTCCTGGGATACAGTCACACATCTGGCTCCCAGCAGGGAGCCTGCTTCTCCCTCTGCCTATGTCTCTGCCTCTCTGTGTGTCTCTCATCAATAAATAAAATCTTGGGATCCCTGGGTGGCTCAGCGGTTCAGCGCCTGCCTTTGGCCCAGGGCGTGATCCTGGAGTCCCGGGATCGAATCCTGTGTCAGGCTCCCTGCATGGAGTCTGTTTCTCCCTCTGCCTGTGTCTTTGCCTCTCTATCATGAATAAATAAAATCTCAAAAAAAAAAAAAAAGTAACAAGGGGATGCCTGGATGGCTCAGCAGTTGAGCTCTGCTTTCGTCTCAGGGCGTGATCCTGGAGTTCAGAGATTGGGTCCCACATAGGGCTCTCTCAGGGGAGCCTGCTTCTCTCTCTGTGTGTGTCTCATGAATAAATAAAATCTTTAAAAAATATAACAAGACTGTTAAGTTAAATTGTCCTTTTTAATGTTATCAGTGTGGTGTTCAACTTGAAGAACACTAAACTGTGGGTGTGATCTTTGATTCATCTTCTCTCACATTATCAGTTAACAAGTACACATAGGGAATGCAGGAGCATAATGGAGAAGCCTGGGTCACCAGTGTGAGAACAGGGAGATTCACCATTTGGGTCACTGACCCTCTACTAGACCTAGAGATGCCCAATCCATGGCAGCTACATAGCAGGAGTGTCTGAAATGGGTTTATAACTATCATGATTTTGAAATAATTATGAGCATATACAATGTTGAGATATTTGAATAACTATAATTTGGTATAAAAATATCTGTGATTTTAATAGGTGACAAAGCCACAGATACTGTTCATACTTCAATCCATGTAGAAAGAAATGGTAATTTTATTTATTTATTTTTAAGAGATTTTATTTATTCATGAGAGACACAGAGAGAGACAGAGAGGCAGAGACACAGGCAGAGGGAAAAGCAGGCTCCATGCAGGGAGCCCGATGTGGGACTCGATCCCGGGACTCCAGGATCACGCCCTGGGCCAAAGGCAGGCGCTAAACTACAGAGACACCCAAGGATTCCCGAAATGGTAATTTAAAAAAATATTTATTCATTTGAGAGAGACAGAGAGAGCACAACCAGGGGAAGAGACAGAGGGAGAGGGGAAAAACAGACTCCTGGCTGAGCTGGAGCCTGCTCAGTGCTCAATCCTAGGACCCAGAGGCCATGACGGGAGTCAAAGGCAGATGCCTAACCAACTGAGCCACCCAGGCACCTCAGAAATGGTAAATTTCTATTACAAGTTAGCAAAAACATATCATTTTTTCCCATCCAAGTTTATGGGCCCCCTAAATTCTAAATCCCAGTGAGGAGCCTTTCTCTTAAAACAGTAGTCTGAAACATACTGCTTATTGTTGTCACCATTATCACCACCATCACCACCATTATCCCAGACCAGGAGACTCCCAGGAATTTGGAATCAGAATCAGTATCAGTATCATTTGCTGTGTGACTGTGCCTAATCTCCACACCTCTCTGAACCTGTTTCTTCCTGTCCAAAACAGGGACACCTAGACCTTAGTGCTGTGGAGATTTGCTTGAAGTATTTTGAAATCTGTCTTATGGAATAGAGCTGAGTTATTATTGCTTTAATTTTGTGAGCCTCTGACTATCCCTTTGGAATCCCTACCAGGAAAAAAAAAAAAAAAAAAAGGAATCCCTACCAGGGGTGCAACACCCAGCCTTCAAAGCCTGTCATGATCTTGCCCCAAATCCAAATTCTGTACTTGGCCTATGGATGGCTCATATAGTGTGTGTGTTTCAGTTATCATTCCATAATTTCACAGATAAATCCAGTTCTCTGGAACTTGGCCAGCTCTGCTGACCCCTTCCCATCTTCACATGTGGCATCAAACATGAATGCAGATTGTTGGCTGCTATTTTCAACATCTCCGCAGATCCCTGCAGGCCTTGCTCCCTCACTGGTGAACCAGTAGGCTCCAAAGGTGCAACACAGCCCTCACCTCTCTGGTTCCCTCCTTTGCTTCATGCCCCTCACACCCTGTGGGGCACATGCTCCTTCATCACTCCTCCGTGCTGTGTCCCTCTTTCACATTTTTGCCTCTCACTTCAACGACCTGCCCGTGGCACTTTGGGGAAGCCCAAAAAACAAAGACCTGTCTCCACCATCTTAGTTCCATTAAACACCTACCCTGAGTCAGCCAGCCCCTGCCTTCCCTGAACACGTAATCCTGCAGGGGAGAAATGGACAGGAACTCACCACTTGTGCTCACGTGCTCCCCTAAAAGGACTAGGGGCCTAACATTCACGATCTTGCCTTTATTTTGTGCCCCCGTCACCTGCCAGGGCTAGGGAGGTAAGGGCAGAGTAAATGGTAGCTTCTATTTTAAAGATAGTTTTCTGGGCAGCCCCGGTGGCTCAGCACCGCCTTCAGCCCAGGGCATGATCCTGGGGTCCCGGGATCGAGTCCCATGTCAGGCTCCCTGCATGGAGCCTGCTTCTCCCTCTGTCTGTGCCTCTCTCTTTCTCTGTCTCTCATGAATAAATAAAATCTTAAAAAAAATATAGTTTTCTGAGTTTATAAAAGTTACTTCTGCACGTTTATTGTAAAACATTCAAAGGTTAACAGCAGGTCATTATATCTCTATTCCATTCTGGAGTGGGGACCACTGTGAAGTTTCTATTCTCTACACAGGCAGATACTTTACATGCTACTCTGAAAATGTGCTTTTTTAAATATTTTTTTCATTTTATGAGATAGTCAATACCAAATGAAATAATACACATTTACTGCTTAGAATACTGCCTAGCACAGTCAGCTACTGTTTTTTAGCATGCCGTGGACAGCTTTCTTAATCAGTATATACTAAACTCCTTTTATTACTGTCCCCAAGCCAAGAATAGGAAAGTCCCTGCGGGAACTTCATCTTGGAGAAAGAAGCAATATATGCCCTCCCCCAAGGTAGGGGCCGTTGATCTAACAGAAACCAAGTGAAAAGGATTACCAATGTCTGGGGGAAGAGGCGGGTTAATAAGACACCCTGCCCCTCTTTTGCTGAGGGCTGACTGGTGATATACAGTCATCTGAGGGGTATGGATAGAGCCAGGACCCAACTCTGGTTGGCTCTCCTGTACCTGGCCTTCTAGTACCTGGTCCAGGTCTAAGACTTCCAAGTGCTATCAAGCAAGGCCTCTCCTGCTTACCCAGCCTGCCCTCCGTGGTGAGTGGGGGAGGTGCCGCTCAGGCCTGATGCTGATCTCTCTTGACAGCTGCTCCTGAGGCTGGCAGGACGGGCAGGAGGGGGAAGGGACCAGATTTAAAGGTCCATCTGCCCCGCCCCCTGCCAGACCTGGGAGGGCAGACGCTGGTGAGCATCCTCTGAGGCATGGCTCTCATGTATATGAGAAGTCGGAAACCTCTATGCCCGGATTTCTGCTCCTTGGTATCGTGAACACCGCTATCCTCATTCCTGCTTCCATCCCACAGGCCGCCAGGGAGACTAGAGGCATCCACCATGAGATTTCGACGCCTGACCCCTGGCTACTTCCGTGTACTACAGGTAAGTACCTCTCACCGATGGCTTCTGGCACCGACCCCCTACTTTCCCCTACCATTGCTGGGCTGACACCCCCAGAAGCCAGGCGGTCACGTTTCCTGCCGCCTGAGCAGCCAGGGCCCAGATGGGCAGTGAAGCGAGAGGGATTGGGGTGGAATCTCCCTGGGGCAGCAGTGGCATCCATACCTTCTTCACCCAACTGTACCTTCCAGTTCCTTCCTACCCACTACCTTTTGAGAAGTCTCCCAACTGACCCCTCAGATGGACCCTCTGTGTACCTTCAGATGCAGATAGCTGGGGAGCTGAAAGCAGAGCCCCGGAGTCCACTGGCTGGGATTGTGGCTACACTGCTGGCTGTCCTTGGACTGGGTGGCTCCTGCTATGCTGTCTGGAAGATGGTGGGGCAGCGGCGGCCGCCACAGGCCTGATGATAAAGTAGGCGGCCTCCCACCTGGGTCCTGGGGGAGGTGACTCAGCGGGGGCTGCAATCTTGGGAACACACTTCTTTTCTGAGGGTCAGTTCCTGCTCTCATGGGGAAGACGACAGTATTAACCAGACCCTCCCTCTCTCCTTTACTGACTTGGGCTCCCTCTGGAGGCTCCAGCTCAGATGCCCAGGACCCCTGAGGGAAGGCAAGGCTGTAGGGAAAAGCTGGACCAAGTGGGGAACAGACACCCTAGGTCCTGTAAACAAGAGTAACAGAGAAACCGCACAGCCCAGGAGTCTGGGGGAGTGGCCTGGAGATTACAGTCAGAGGCAAGTCTTCTCTATCCAGTTCCTTTATTGGGGGTGAGAGCACCCAGGAGAGGCCATCCACTCCCCAAACCCAGGGCCCAAAGAGGCCGGCACAGCCCCTCTCAGCCTAGCCCTTGCAGTGCTGTCCATGGGCAGCCCCCGCACTTTGCAGCCTCAGGTCATGCAGGGAGTTGTGACCATCTCAGGGACCTCAGTGGATACTTCCGTGGGCACTGCCAGTCGCTGGGGTGTCACATAAGAGCCCATACCCGCTGCCCTTTCCGCCTCCTCCTGACTGTAGGGCTCCACGCTCAGCTGCTTTAGCCTGGGAGAAAGAAGAATGACAGTTGGGAGCTGACCAGATGCAAGCCCTGTGTGCCCAGCACTCATCCATCAATCCTCTCCTTACCCCATACCTTTTCTTGTGGTCTTTGGATCGGAAGTGGGTCTTCAGGGTGGCGGAATCAATGAAGTACCTCCTGCAGCGATGGGAGGCGGGTAAGGAGAAGAGTGAGCTGAAGCCTCAGGTAACGCCCACCTCCCTGAACCGAGCTCTTCCTGACGCCAGGCTGCGCGCCTGAACGGATGGGAGGCCAGCCCACCCACGGGTCCCACGAGAGGAGACCCCGCGCGTCCCGCGGGCCGGACCACACGCCCCCGACCCGTCCCGCCTACCCTTCTCCTCCCCGGGCCAGGCCCGGCCGGGACTCACGCGCAGGCCAGACAGCGATGCAGGCCGCCCCCCGGCAGGTCGGGGTCGGGCTCAGACGCTGGGTCCGGCCGAGACCGCGCGGGGACCTGGGGCCGCAGCTCGCGGTGAATCTCATCGAGGTCGGGCCGCCGCCGCTTCGCCTTCATCTGGCGGGCCAGGGAGCGGGCTCGGTGCGCACCTGTCCGCCGGGCGCGACCCATGTCCAGGGACAACGGGCCCGGGGGGCCCAGAGCAGGCAGCGGAGCACACGTGCGGGCGCTTCCGGATTGCTGGGTGACGTCACGTGACGCCCGGGGGTGGCGCGGGCTCCTCCGGACCGCCCCGGATGACGTCATCGCGCTTCGCAGCCGGAGCGCCCGCCGGCGGCGGTCGACGTCAGTGACGGAGGCCGGGCGGGGCCCAGGGCAGCGTCCTGCGCCTGGGGCGAGGCTGTCGCGGGGTAGCGGCCGGGTGCAGCGCGCCCCGGGCTTCCGGCCCCCGCCCTCGCGTCCCGCGGGGCCCAGCCTGCCTCTGCGCCATCCCCTGGCAGCGTCTCCCCTTGCTTGTTCCCAGATCTTGGATTCCGCGGTCAGTGGGAAGAGGGAAAATGCCTTGAGCATCTCCGGGAGGCACTGAAAAATGTCCGTGATGTGAATAAATGAATTAATGAGTGAGAGTGAGTCAGTGTGCCGCCCCCACAGGCTTCGGGAGAGCCCTCCAGATCCCGACGAAGGCCTTCTCACCACCTCGCCCTTACTCCCTTGCGTCTCCATCCTTCATCCGCCCGCGTCCAAATCCGTGAGCAAGCAGTGTTCCTCCTCAGGAAGCACAGTGCTCGGGCACCCCCTCAGACTGACCGGGGGTCAGCTTCTCCCCGAGGAGGTGCTCACGGAAGGACTTCCCCACTTTGCCCCCTTTTCTGAGCCCTGGACTCCCAGGCATGGGCTAGCAGCCAAGGCAGAGAGCCAGCCTAGGGGTGCGTGATCAGGGCGGGGAGAGGGCCAGAGAGCCTCTCTCCATTCATCGGAGCCTGGTGCCTTCCTGGCTGACCAGAGGAGCTCAGCAATAATTCAGGGACTCCAGCTCTTTGGAACCTGTTGCCTGGAAACAGGGAGACATGCACGTGCATCCCTGGGGAGAGGAATCAGTTTCCAGACCAGACAAAGCAGTGAAATGTAAGCTCAGGGTGCCAACTGGGGGCCTTGGGACCTCCTCAATCCAGTTCACAGCTAAGTAGGGATATAGGGCAGGCCCCCCTGAAGGCACAACTGGTATGGCTACAGTCCCAGAGGCACCAGTCCAGTCTGGGTCTTGGGCCCGAGGACTTTATAAATGGACTTTGTGGCTGAAAGATTTTTCTGGAGCCATTCCAAGAGATCAAATTCAAGTACCCCTAGGGCCAGGAAGGAGGACTCCATAGAGATGTCTTCATTATTCTTGGCCAATATGGGTCAAGACAAGGGGCTGAGGCCACAGAAGCGAGTTCTGTCCCACCCCCACCCCAGACTCCTCTGGATCAGGTTCACCTGCTGGGCACTGTGCCAGCTGGGGAGCCTGGTGCATCTTTAATGAAGTCACCTGATCCCTGGGACAGGCTCTCGGCCTCACCAAGTTCCTGGAGCCAGACCCACTGGGTGCCCACTGAGTCAATTGCCTTCTTGAGCTTGGGTGCCAGGTCGGTTTCCCCTGCAGCCATGAACCAGGCATTCTGGAAAACCTACAAGTCCAAAGTGTTACAGACCCTAAGTGGGGAATCTGAGGAGGACCTGGCAGAGGAGGTGGGTACCATCCATGTTTGCTGGGTGGGTCATGGCAGAGGGGCTGCAGGAGTGAAAGGTACAATGAAGGGCAAGGGACAGGCTTGGGATGGGGGCATATTTGTGCAGAAGCAGTTGGCACATTCAGAGATGACAAATGGCACAGTATAGAAAGCCAGGGCATTTAAGAAAACTGAGGAAGAAGATTTGGGGGCCACCAGAAGAATGGTTATTGTCTCCAAAGATCTCAAAGGCGACCACGTGGAAGATATCCTTCCAGGACCAAAGGGCAGTAGCCACACAGGGTATATGCAGCTTGACACAACTTTCTAATGAGCAGGGCTGCAGACCTGGGATGGCTTGCCTTAAGAGGGAGTGAGCTCTATGGTGCTGGAAATAGGAAAAGTGGTGCTCGCACATAGGTCACTGTCGCAGCATCAGATGAGAGCCAGACTTGGATCATGTTTATCCTAACATTAAAGATCAAAAAAGCTCTGAAACTGGGAACAGTCTTGCATCTAGAGGCTGTGATAAGTGGCAGTTGTGCAAACAGATGTCACAGGGACGGGAAATATTTCTGAAGGGTGTGTGTGTGTGTATGTTTGTAAATAAGTTTATGTCTAGACCGCTTGGTATCCAAGGAGGGGCTTGTGTAGAAGTATCTGTGGGTCAGTAGTAGGATTGGAATCCATGTAAAATACCTCATGAAGTTGTATGTGTAGGTGTGAACCAGATATAAGTATTCAGGAAGTATATAAGTCTCTTCCTGAATCCCTCTGTGAAGGCATTTGCAGGTCTCAGGTTTGTATAGCGTGTGTGTGTGTGTGTGTGTGTGTGTACATGTCTGTCTTCATGTCTGTGGATGGATGGAAAGGTTTAGTGTGCTGCAGGTGGGCCTTGGCACAGATGTCTGCATTCATATAAGTTCACAGGTATGAATGGTATAACTGTGTATGTGTCCTTATGTAGGTGCTTCACAGCATGTACATCTATGTACAGGTGAAGAGGTATAGCCGTGTGGAGGCATGCGAAGTACGGGTGTGTGTCCACATCAGCATGCATACCCTTGTCCACACATTTTTGGGTGTGTGTGGATATGTCTGTGGGAGGGCAGGTATGTGTGCTCAAGGGTGTCTGCAGGGATTAACTATACAGGCAAGGTATGTGATTGGGAGCTTTGTGTAGAGGTATAACCTGGATGGATGGATGGATGGATGGATGGTGTGAAGGGACTAGATGGGTGTTTAGGTGTGAGGGTTTGGGGTGCCAGGGTGTGCATACCGGGCTAGCAGTGGGGGAGGGAGGTCCTGTTCGTCTGGAGCCTTTCTCATGCTAGGGAGGGGGTCTTGTGTCCCAGCGAGGGAACCCAGCGTTAGTGGAATCTGAGCCAGCCAGACCTGCGGAAGAGGCTTGCCATCCCATGTCACAGCTGGCCCGCCGGGTGAGTTCTTCCTTCTTTACCCCAACTCCTGGGGGTGGGGGGAACCTGGTAGAGGCTACTGTGGAATCCTGGGAGGTGGTGCTGTGACCCCTCCCTGATTCCCAGCCCCTTCCTCCCAGGTTCAGGGGGTTGGGGTGAAAGGTTGGCTGACAGTGTCATCTCTGTTTAACAAAGAAGATGAGGACAAGTTGCTGCCACCGGAGCCCTGTGCTGACCAGTATGTGTGTGTTGGTGGGGGCTGGGATGGGCCTGGAGTCCCCCTTCTCCCATGTCCTTTCTTTCCGGTCTATTTGTGTATCTTTCTGATCAAGGAGGGAGGGGAAGGGCCAGCCCCTGGCTGTTTCAGTTTCTCTCAGCAGGAAAGAGGCCAAATCAACATATCTGGAGATTAGGTTAGATCTCAGGAGGATTTAAAGGGCTGTTGGGATTGAGGTGCTAGAAGGTATTTTAGGTGCTCTCTCTCCCCATCCACATGGGAGGGGCCATCTCCCTACAGTCAGGGAACAGAAAAGTGAAACTTTAGATGTTTGGAACAGAGGGTGGCCCAGATCATTGATTCCCGATACCGGTCTAAACCCTCATCCTCCTAGGGAGTTTGTGCCAGACCCTCCTTCAAAGATTCTGATTCAGCGGATATGGACTGAAGCTGGGATCTATACTTGCAGCATGCTCCTGAGGACCCGAGGCACACTAATTTAGGAACCACTGAATCAGAAAGGCTTTGAAGCTGAGGGGTTAGCGGTTGGGACCCCAGGCAGCTCCTCTCTCCTAGCTCTATTCCGGCCTTCCCTCCAGCCCAGCAACGCCCCCTTTCTTTGACATTCCCCTATTCCTTCCTCCCGGGGGTCCCCCAGACCCACCCATCTCTCCAGCCGCAAGGTTTCCTTTCTTCCTTCTGGCAGTCACCGCCTGACCCTCCCAGGGCTCCAAGGACTCTTCCTCAGATCTGAGGCTCCCACCTCAAGACTCATCACCAATCCTTGACTACCCTTCCCCCCACACTCCCTGCCACCCACCCCCCGCCCCTCCCCACTAAGCCCTGATCTAAGCCTTTCTCATCTACTTGGGTCGCTCCACCCGTCCTTTTTTCTAGTGTTCCCTCATTTTCCTAGTCCTCCTTTCCCTCCATCACAGACCCTCATCCCCGCCCCCGCCGTGCCTCTTTCCCCGGGGCCGCAACCTTGGCTTCCCCGACTCCAGCTCCAGGAGCCTGACCCCGCCCCAAGCGCCGCTGGGCCCCGCCCCTCTTCCCGGGCTCCCCGCCCCGCTCTCCACACCTGGCGCCTTGCGCTTCGCGGAGGCCGCGGGCTCTCCCCGGGTCTTTGCTAAACTCTCTCCCCGGGGAATCCTGGTGTCGGCTCCCTCTTCCCAGACCCCTCACCTAACCCCCTGACCCTGTCCCACCCTAGCCCCCTTTCCCTGTGCCTCTGAGCTCCTCCCCTGGCCTGCAGTCACCCTGCGCCCCAGGTCACCAGACCTCCGCCTGGCTCGGCCTGCCGCACTCCTAGCGCCTGCGCCCCGTCTCCCCCTCTTCGTCCTCTCCCCGGGCCTCTGGGCCGGTGACGCTCGTCCTTCTCCCGCAGCCCGCTGGCGGCGCAGTCCCCCTCGCAGGCGGTGACCGCGACGGAGGCGGAGCCGCGCGGGCCGGGGTTCTGGGACGCGTTCGCCAGCAGGTGGCAGCAGCAGCAGGCGGCGGCGGCGTCCATACTGCGCGGCGCCGAACCCAACCCGGAGCCGGACCCCGAAGCGCGAGACGAGGCCGCGGAGGAGGCTGCCGAGCGCCCCGAGCCGGGGGAGGCCGACACCGTGGCCGGCTTCAAGTGGGGCTTCCTCACCCACAAACTGGCCGAGATGAGGGTGAAGGCCGCGCCCAAGGGCGACTAGCCTGCGGCCCACCAGGGCACCCGCTCCTTCCTTCCCCCGCGCCCATAAAAACCCTGACCCGACACCCCGCGTGACCGCGTGTCTTTGTCCGGACAGCGGGGATGACTGCTTTTGGGTGGGCAACCTCAAGGCCGGGTCCAGCTCAAAGGGTCTTCCCCCTCCCTTCTCCCACAAACCTACAAGGGAAAAATGACCAGACAGTCCTGGTGTAAGGATAGATTTAGTCCGATTTAGGGCGCAACTTTCCAGGAAACGGGGGCCCCAGAGGACAGGCCTCATTGCCCTGTTCAGCCTCTTTAATTCGACAAGTAGCCCGTGGCCCTGCTATGTGCACCATCCCTGTACAAGGGGAAGACCAGCGGGTCCCACACAGGTGGCACGTTGAGTCACAAAAATAAGGCTGCACCTGGGAGCTCAGAGGAGATGAAGCCGACTGGGGAATTCAGGAATTTCTGAGGGAGAATGAATAAATGTAATCTTGGAAAGATTGAGTGGAAAGAAAGGGGAAGGTAGCCCAGGCAAAGAGGGGAACCCTAAGCAGGGACTTGGAGGTGTGGTCGCATGAAGCAAACAAAGGACCTGGCGTGTCTCTGAGGGAAAGGAAGATAGTGGCTAGATGTGAGGCTGCAGGTTAGCAAAATCCTGCTTTGAACGGATCCCTTCAATTCTGAATTCTTCCTTTCTCAGCCCATCCATAGCTAGTAACCAAAAGGAGGCTGCACATCTCCAGGAATGGGGCCCCTTTTCGGGTGGGGGACCCCAGATTTCTGGAACAGACCCCTCCCCAAAACTCTTCACAGGCGCTATTCCTGGCTCCTGGATCTGGTTGGGACCGACCTGGGGTCGGTGGAGGAGATGATCACAAGAGTACTAATCAGTAGTGGTCTTAGCGTCTGTCCTTTATCGAACACTTTCTGTAATGCAGGGCACTTTGCAACGGTGCTTTAAGACCGTTTCAAAAATACCCTGATCATCGAGGGGTGCAGCTGTGCTTCGAGGAGGTTAAGTGCTTCCCCAGGGTCACACAGTGAGCCTGGAACCCACACTCCAAAACCCACGGGTGTAACCCCGCAAACCCGGCCCTCCTTCCTCCATACCTGCTCTCTAATCCAGCATCACGACTCCTTTAATTAACGTTTTGCCTTTATTCAGTAGATTCTCTGATCCCCCACTCCAGGCTTCTCTCCCCAGACCCGGCCTCCACAGGAGCCACGTAGCTGCCCCCTCCCCCTCCGTCGTCTACTCTGGGAAGGGCCTTCGGAATGATTTTGTCCCATCCTCCCAAGGTTCACAGGGAGAGACCAAGAACCCGGAGGGAAGGGCTCCCTAGAGGCACCCGGCGCGTCGGAGGCGGGGCGTCCCTGCCCGTGCCCGGGACCAGCCCTGCGCCCACCCCTTCACCCTCCTGGGGTCCGGGACTCCCCGGAGCCCGCTCGGGCCGCAGCGGCGGCAGTCACACCTCCGACTCGCGCGGCGGGCCGCGGGCGCGCTGGCAGCCGTACAACCACTGGATGACGCGCGCGTTGCGCTCCACCACGGACACCTGGGGGCGCCCGTCCCGCGCCGAGCCCGCCGCCTCTGAGCCGCCGCCGCCGCCGCCGCCGCCGCCGCAGCCGCCGCCGCCGCGGTCAGCACCGTCCGGGCGATCCGTGTCGCCATCGCTGGACGTCCAGTCGGTGGTGTCCCCAGAGCCGGGCGGCGGCGACGCTCCGGGTTGGGGGCTGGCGTCCGCGCCCCAGCTCTGCGGAGAGAAGCGCTCAGCGCCCAGCACCTCCACCAGCGCGCGCTCCAGGCCGCAGTAATTGAAGAAGCGCTCCTTCTCCGACAGGGGCAGTGAGCATGTGGGGCACAGCGCCCGCTTTCCTGCCGCTTCCGGGGCATCTTGGGGCGCTGCCCAAACCCCAGGAGCTGCTGGTCGCTCCGTTGGGCCCGGACTACTCGAGGGGGCGTCTCGGGGGGCGCCCAGGAAGAGGCGCCGCACCAGCCCCTGGCCCTTGGCGTTCTCTTTGTTCACCGAAGCCTTGCAGTCCCGCTTCTGGCGGTAGAAGATGAGGGAGTCAGGCCTGGGCAGCCGCCTGCCGCTGCTCCGGCGGGCGGGTCTGGGCGTCCTGGGCGATGCAGGGGGGCCCAGCTCATTGCAGGCGTGCGGGGTGAGCGGTCCGGGACCCCCACGCAGAGCTGGCTCCTGGCGGCGTGCTATCACCTGGTGTGTCTTGACATACTTGGCTTTGTCGGCCTCCAGCCTCTCCACCGCGCTGGGGGTCCGTCCCCTGGATGGGGTGGAGGGAGAGGCCAGGATCATCTTAGCAGAGCTGGGCAGGATAGTACCCCATAAGCCACTGGAAGTAGGCAGCTACTTGAGGAGCCAAGAGCAGTTGGCTGGGGGGGGGGGTGTCCCCCTGGTGCCTACAGGGAAAGAGGAACAGTCAGTCAGGGAGAGAATAGATGTCCCTGCACCTCTCCTGCAACCTCTCCTGCAGGCATTCCTGGGAATAGGATCAGTCAGCCACCCCTCCCCCAACTAAAAGGGCCAGACCGTGCCTAAGGGGCAGAGGTTCAGGCTACCCCTTCCCCCCTCCTCTATCCCTCAAAGACATTGAGCAGGGGCGCCCTGGTCACCCAGAAACATGCCCCTTTGAGGGTGCCCCAATCTGACTGGAGAGCCATGCCAAGCAAGCATCAGCAAGTGGGACACTTGGAAAAGGAAATGGGGCTGGTCCCAGTTCAGTTCCCGAAAGTGGCCTCAACCGGAAAAAATACCTCTTCCCAACCCAGCAACTTTGAGTCCAAGACAAGAAGGTTCCCCAGCCACAGGCTGGCTCCAGCAGGGCCCACCCTTCCCGCCCCCAAGCACCGAGGTCAGGGATATAACCACAGGGTAGGAGCCTCCAGTAATTGCAGCCAACTGCCCTGCCCAGTCCCAGCAGGGCCAAGGGGGAAGAAAGAGAGGTGGCCACCAGGTCATGGCAGTCAGCTACTTGCCACCTCTGTACCCCTGCCAAGGGAATTCCTCAATGCCTACCTGTAAACACCACCTCCCCTACCTCTGCATTTTCATTTACAGAAAAGGAAATTGGTAGAGAGGAAGGGGCTTGCTCAGGTCTGAGAGTTAGAGACTGGGGTTGAAACCCAGGTCTCTAGCCTTGCAGTGCAGAACTAGTTCAGATGGCTTCTCTCATAGCCGATCAGAACTTCCCTCTTATGTTTTGCTTCTATTCTTGCTGCTATAAAACCAAGCTCTTTCCATTAGACATGGGCCCTTTGCCTCACTAAAAAGTTGCTTCCACGAATTCTTCCCAATAACCGCTCCCAGAAATCTGCCCTTAGGGTCCCTGCCTTCTTCTCATCCTGAGACCCTGTGACCCTTGTCCGCCACCTCCCCTCTATCACTGGGGAAGGGGACCAGGAGGGGCTGTAAATCAAGAGCTGACAGTTCTGTTGGCAGTAACAGAATGGGCCACCCACACAGCTCAGCACACCCCATACCACCCCGGCTCCCTCCTTCCTGAATCCTCCATTCAGCTGAAAGGGGCACAGAAGTTCTGAGAGCTGAAGGGACCTCCAGTCAGGAGGCAACAAAAGAACAGAACTTGCAGGGTTGGGGGGAGCCCCCCCCCCCCGCCCAGACCTGTCCTTGCTCTGTCTCTGTCTGTCTCTCTCTCTGTCTCTCACAAACCCCTATCTAGTGTCTAGTAAGTCAGTCCATAGGTAGTTGGTAACTGGGAACCCAGGCAGCAAGAAGAGCCTGGCAGTGCTCTCAAGAACTCTACCAGGCAATGGGTCAGATTCCAAGGTCTCAGGAGGGCATTGTGCTTGTCTGACCTTATGGGTATCCTCCCAGCGCTCTCTCCTCTTCCCAGCCCTGAGCAGCAAGGCTATAAAAAGTCCCTAAACACAAGGACCAAAATAGTCTGTGTCGACTGTCTCTTCCCTGCCTCCTGGGTTGGCCCTGATGCTCACCACGGACGTTCCACCCTAGAAGCCTGGCAGACATCCTTGTGCCCTCTGTCCCTTTGCCCACCTCCTCCCAGTCCTGTGGTTAGTGGTCTGAACTTTGCCCATGACTTCAGCTCTGGACGTGGGCTGGGGACTTGCTCACCGGCTTGGCGCCGGCCTCCCTGCCCTTGGGTCCCCCAGTGCCTTCCCACCCCAGCCCTGGGTTCAGGAAGCACTCACCTCTGGGTATGGAGGCTGAATGTAGGGGTCCCTGGGCAGGATCAGACAAGGGCAGAAGGGACAGCAGGGACTGGAAGTAACTTTGGTGGCAGCCAAACCTCACTCTCCACAGGAAAAGGAGAGAGAGCCTCCCCCCCCCCCCAGATTAACCCTTGCCTTCCTGACCCAGAGCCCAGTCTCTAGTTAACTCCTTCCTGGTCACAGTCTCAGTGCTGGAGAGGACCTTTGGACCATGTCCAGCTTCTTTCATTATTTTATACAGATGATCACACAGGCCCTGACAGGTTATGCGATCTGCATGAAGGTGCAGTGAGCTTGGGGTACAGCCAGGACCCAGACAAGGTCTCCTGACTCCCTAGCTTCCTTCAGAGGCCTAGGGTAGGGATATGCTATTCATGGGGGGGTCAGCCTCCTCTGCTAGGCTTTGGAAGAACCTGTGGGTTAAAATGCAAAGGCAGAGCAGGGTTCTAGCTGACTGTGCTTATTTTCCTCTGTAGCAGGTTTAGGCCTGTCCTAGTTGGGGTGTGTGGATGGTGGCAGGCCCGCTCTCCCTAGAGGTGAGGCCAGGAATCTGCAGCCGAAGGGTGAGGGCACTGGGGCTGCGGATGTGCAAGGTGAGCCAGTCCTAGCAAGTCTTGGCATGACAGTCACCTCGGAGCCTATTGGAGGTGCCTCTGCCCAAGTCCTCCCATGGCCAGTGGAATTGGATGGGAAGAGGGTTATGAATGGATGATTCCAGGGGCCTTTGGCCTCCTTTCTCCTTTGCCCCATTGGGGACTTCTCTTGTCTCAAGGGGGAGCCATGTCCCCAAAGTGCTAGTGCCAGGAGATCACCTCCCCTCTGCGTAGTAAACTGCAGCACCCAGAGCTCAAAAATCAACACCCTTGCCAAGGGGCCCCTGCCTCCCTCTAGCTGGCCACTTCCCACAAACCTTTTGCCCTCCCTTGTAGAACTTGTAATGTTTGCAAAGCACATTTGCACCCGTGCTCTTGGATCTCCCTTGTCTCTCCCAAGAATTCTAGAGGGGGACCTAGGAGGAGTGACCACTCCACTTGATGGATGAAGAAATGGGATCTTGCCAAAATCCAGTTCCAAAACCACTCTTTACACTGCCCGCTCTGCCTGTCAAGCAAGATAATGAATCTGATAAAACAGGAGGTCCATTTGTAGTAAGAGATTCTTTTTCACCTAGTTAAGGGAAGGTTTTTTGTTTTTTTGTTTTGTTTTGGGTTCTTTTTTTGGGTCCATGATAGTTCCATATTGTACGGTTATGGCTCTTTGCAAAATACTTTCATCTACATGATCACAATTCATCCCTAAGACAATCTTTGGGGAGTAATGGGTTTTATTTCCCCACCTAACAGCTGAGAATACTGAGGGTCAGAGGTGTGAAATGACCCATCCAAGCTCACATAATGAGACTAATAGCTAACTTTTATTGGGGGATTAATATATGCTAGGCACTGTTCTGTGATTAGTGAAATGGGTGCTTTTATTCTAATTTTACAGACACAGGTTGGGGTACAGGCCCCTAGCACTGAGATCTGGTCATGAAGGGGTTAAGCATGGAGGCAGGGCAGGGCCCAGCTGGGATGCTGTCAATGGCAGGAAACCTGGCCTGTGAAGGAGGGGGAGGATGGGGCTGTTGTGTCTGACTTGATACAACCCCCATCCCTTTGGTCTTAAAGGAGTATCCGGGTTGGGTGGAAGGGCAAGCGGAATGAGGGTGGGAGGTGGGGGGTGGGCTTCTCAACTCTTTTCTAGGGACCAAGACAGATGCTGAGCTACAGAAAAAGGAGATTCAGAGTGGAACACAGGTGCCACCCTGGGGGAGCCCCTGATCTAAGGACTGGAAATGACAGCACCTCTTTGCAGGAACACTCCGTGTGGGGGTTGCTGAAGACCAGCTCCAGACCTTGGAGTGCCCAGTCAGAGAGGGGAGGCAGGAGACAGAAGCTCTGCCTTCAGGAGTCCAAGGTGGGAGGTGGTCAAGGAGCCTGGCTCTCAGGAGCTCCCAGTCTGAGGGGAGACAGTTCCCTGTCCCAGGACGCCAATGGACACAGACCCTCTATCGACCGACCAGAGTAGGCTCTTAGAGGAGAGGTCAGACTGGATTGGCTTTCTGGGTCAAGGAGCCTTGAAAGAGTCAGTGGGAGCAGGGAGATCATGAGGGTGCTGTCTGCCCTGCAGGGTGTCTTGGGCACTCTTTCCGTGAACAGATCATCTGTCTTTCTGGTCCTGGATCCCTAGGGAGATCCTTAAAGTGGCTCCTTCTGGTGCTAGAGCCAGGACCTCGGGCCAGTGGGAGGCCAAATCCAAGAGGTGTTTCCTTCCTATGTCCAAGCTCATTCCCGGATCACCTTGATGATCGATTGGAATAAGCCTGAGTCAGAACTGGTTCCTTCCGGAGGAGATAGTCAGGGAAGGCTGAGGGAGGAGCTCTGGTCAGTGTCGGGAATAAAGAGATGGCTCAGGGGGGCCTTGACATCTAGCCACAGACCCCAGACCCACAGTGGTACCTACCTCCCTTAGCCACCAGCTACAGCCCTCTCACCACACCACCCACACCTCAGCCCTGCCTTTGATGCTAACCCTGGTGAAACCACTCACTGGCTGTGTGGCCTGGAGCACGAACTTAACCTCTCTGAGATTCCTTCTGTGTAAAATGGGAATGACAAGACCCAGCTCCTGAGTAGCATGAAGAAGTAATGGCTGTGGCAACTGAAAGGTCCCTGGTGCCTTAAGGGGCTCATAAATGTTAGATGAATCTGCGTTTTACCCCTTGCCCTGCATCGACACCTTGCTGACGCCTCCGACCTAAATCCTTTCTCTCTAACCCCAGTCTCAGCTGCTGTCGACAAGTCATTCGAACATGCTCTGTGCTGTGAGGTCAGCAAATAGGTCAGACATGGTTTCTGCTCTCAGGTAGCTCAGCCTGCTTAGGGGTTGGGGTGGGGGGCGTGGGGCAAAGGCGTAATAGACTTATCCCAACTCCAGCCAGGGCAGTGCTTCTGTGACAGAGGCCATCAAAGCAGGGGACAGGGGAGGACATTGGTTCTGCCAGAGAAAGGGGGTGGGGCAGGAGGAAGCAATGTCAAAGAGTGGGTATCTCTGTGCCCCTGGAAGGGATTTCTGGCCTGGTTGGGATGGGAGGTGGGGGTGTTGGGGGAGAGATGGTGAGAGCTACAGGCCTAAAGTCAGCAGGAGCCCGAGCCTCCCTGAGGGGTCAGGGAGGGACTCTCACGTTGGGAGGGGATCAGGGATAATGTAAGTCTCTAAGGAATTTTGGAAGCAAGGTTTCCAGGGCCTTGAGGCTAGAGAAGGAAGGGGCTGGGGGGCGGGGGAGGACACACAGAGAGACAGAGAGTGAGAAGGAAAGGAAGAGGGAGGGAGGAAGAGGCTCAGCAGAGCTGAGAGGGAAGACAGGGCACAAAGAAGGGAGGGGATCTGTGAGATGAAAGAGGTGATGGGGGTCCTGAGAAAAGGGAGCTCACAGGGGAGATGGGGCTCCAGGTGGGGTCTGGCTCAGCCAGGAGGAGGGGCTCACGCTGGCGTCGGTGGGGCCCCCTCCGCCCGCCCTGTGCACCCCCACAGAGATTAGAGCAGCTCTCCCGTAATTCGGGGCCTTCCGTTTAGGAAAGAATCTCAGCCACAACAATAGCCTGGCTCCCGCTCTCCCCCGGTGAGGGGTGCGGCCTCTGGGCAGAGCCGGCGCCCCGCACCCACCGGGGGCGCGGAGAGGAAGGTGTCTGCAGCGCTGTTGGCGGAGCTCCTCCGCGCCGCCGGCGAACCGAGCGAGTAAGGGATCGGCCTCGGCTCTCGCCGCGCGGACGGCCCGCGGCAGGATGAGGAAGCCGACCCGACCCGGCGCCCCGGGGGCGTGCGCCCCGCGCCCCGCGCGCCCGCCACCTGCTTCCCGCGCAGCCCCCGCGGACGCGGCGGGGGGGAGCCGCCCAGGCGGGAGGGGCGACTCAGCGGGGGCCAGGCAGGCCTGAGAGCCGGGCCGCCCCGGGGGCTCCGGGCCCCCGCACCCCACCCCAGCGGCACGCCGGCCTCGGTCCCCCGCGCGCCTGCGCCCCTGCGCGCCTGCGCCGCCCGCCTGGAGGAGGAGCCCGGAGGCTTCCGCGCGGGGGGCGGGGGGGGGGACCCAGGGCAGCCCGGCTGGGCGCTCGCCACCGACACCTGGTGCCCGCCTCCTCCTCCGCACCTGCGTCACCTCCGTCCTCACCTTCCACCGCTGTGCTCAGCCAGGCGCCTCCAGATCCAGGACCAGGGACAAAAGCCATCCGGTCTCGACCCAGCACGGTAGCGAGCACTTGGGCAAGGAACCGGGGTTCCCGTGCAGTGCAGCCCCCAGAAATCTATCCTCCTGCAAATACTGACAGATACACGGTCCTTTTTTTTTTATTTTTTTTTATTTATTTATGATAGTCAGAGAGAGAGAGAGGCAGAGACACAGGCAGAGGGAGAAGCAGGCTCCATGCACCGGGAGCCCGACGTGGGATTCGATCCCGGGTCTCCAGGATCGGGCCCTGGGCCAAAGGCAGGCGCCAAACCGCTGCGCCACCCAGGGATCCCAGATACACGGTCCTTAATGACACGTTAAAAAATGTTTTGATTTTTTTTTACACAAAGTCATGAAAATATCAAACATGACTGAATGTAATTGTTATTGAACATATTTGTGGGTATTCTGGTCAAGGGCCAGCTGTACTGGGTGGGTAAGAAAATAAAGATGTGAATAATTCACAAATTGTTCCATCTTAATTCCATGAAATCTATTTTTTTTTCTTTCCTTGATTGGAGCAAAATGACCAAGTATGTTACTATAATGAAAAATTTCAGGGGCCCTGCCTGGCTCAGTCATTAGGACATTTGACGCTTGATCTCGGTGTTGGGAGTTCAAGCCCCTATAGTTTACTTAAAAGAACAACAACAAAAAACCAAATGTAAGAGTAAACTACATTAACATTGCAAAAATGTTCCTCTGCCGTCATATGTTACTACTGCAAAAATCATCTACTTGTTTGAAACTCTTGAAGTGGAGCAAGAAAATGATGTTCAGCATTTGCTGGGGGATAGTATGTTCTTGCTACAGCATTCCTGCTCTCAGAGAGGAAGAATTTGACAAGAGAGACAAATTCTCATTTGTCTTGCCTAAGGTCCCTTACCACTCCGAACTCCACAGCCTGGAACCGTGGCTGTTTGTGATGCCAGCAGCTGTGCAAAGCTTCATGGTATTTGGATGCAGTGATCTTTTGTTTCAAGGACAGAGAGCAAGAGGCGTGGAGAAGCATTTGTTTCCCTGGGGCTGAATGATGTTAGGTATGATAGCAGATGTTGAGGATTAC